GTTTGCAGTCCATGCAGACAGTTACACCAGTAGAGGCTTGTCGTATATAGTCTCTTCTACATTTATTAACACGTTCGGAAGTGCGCGCACGCAGTTTGGCAACGGAAGTACGGCGAAGTCCAATAGCTTGTCAAGCTATGCACGGGCATCCACCACCAAAGATCACAAATGCCATTTCGTCCATTACTACGAGCAACCAGTCACTCGTTAAACTGAAACACATGTTGCTCTGAAACAGCCGTGCTCCTGTTGGAATTGTGTAGAACTTGAGTTGGTATATGAAATTTTTACAACCAAAAATGCAACAACCAGACGTTTTGATGCTGGTAACTGTTTAAATTCAATGTTTAAAGCTTGATTGCTTGTGGCTGTGGCAAAACGCCCCTTTCATTGCCAACATACGCATGCTTTTTTTTGAAGACCCTCGGCTTTGGAAGGTTCTAAAGCCCCTGATGCAACTAACCTGTACTCACATTGTGAAAACTGACACTTTGTAATACATTCGTAAGCCACTTCTGACTTGTTTTTAGTCAAGCCGTTCGTACTGGAAGTAACCCACTGTGTGGGTATTCAAGGGAGAAGTACTGTACATATAGATAGATAGATAGATAGATATAAACTTTATTTATCCCCAGGGGCAAATTAGTTTGTAGCAGCAGCAATTTACAGAGTGAAATATAACTTATGGAATGCACAATACATACAGTACAATAAAATAACAAAGCAGATATTGAATTTGAAGGAATAGATTAATAAAAAATAAGATAAATAGAATAAAAAATAGAAATGCACAGTATGTACCATGAATAGAGTGGTATTAACTAGTAACTAAACAACCTGGACAGTAGAGCAAGGATCACCAACAACAAGCAACAACCGTGTAGCATTGTTGTAGTCATGTGAAGGACGATGATCTGGCCCGAGGTGTTTTATTATAAAGTCTTATTGCAGTGGGCAGGAATGTTTTTCTGAATCTGTCCTTGTGACAGCGGAGCTGGATGAGTCTGTTGGAGAAAGTGCTCCTCTGTCCCTGCAGTAGGTTGTGGAGAGGGTGGTCCGGGTTACCCAATATGGACAATAGTTTCTTCAGTGTCCTCCTCTCCACCACCTCTCCCAGATAGACTGCTTGACTAAATGGACAGGCCTGTTGCTTGTGCTCAGTGTATTGCCACAGGTCAAAAAATGATTTTTCTTTATGTGATGCTCAATGTGAGCATATCAGGACAAAAGGCCTCTCTCCTCCAAGTAAGCTTGAGTATTTGGTGTTTGATTCCAACCCCCCCCCCGCCACTGATTTAGGGTTGGAGTGAGAAAAAGAGACAGACAGAGACATGGAGGGAAATCAATTAGAAAATGCCTGTTTGATGTCTGGTTGAAACGTAATAATTAATCTCAAAATGAATTGAAACACCACTGGCTGAAATGTGAACAACAGTTGTGTATCACTATAGCACACCTGCGTTTCACTGTGAAGCATGTTAGTGCTATTTCTTTTCCGTATCGGTTGGTGGACCAGACAAAATATGTATGCATTCCCAAACTAACACATGATACTGACACAAGAAAAAGAAATCTGCAGAATATTCGTGTGTGTGTGTGTGTGTGTGTGTGTGTGTGTGTATGCGTGTGTCCTGATGGCTAACCTGAAAATGTGCTCCACTGCAATTAAAAGTGTGACACTTACAAATTAGCCCTTGACAAATCTCTTTTTCCAGCATACAGTACATGACAGACCTTATATCTAATACAACGTTAGTGGCTTGCAATGTCTGATAAGGAAGTCACACACATGTATTTAATGCATTTAACACAACCACCCAGGGGGCTATCAAGCTGGCTTTGACAATAATACAGCCATTGTGCTGATAATTGCATAAGATATTCTCAGGCAGCAACCTTTTTCAAATGAATTGCTGAAATAACAAACTGCGTGGCACTGGGCTTTACATTTTACCTCTTTGCCCTTATGAAATAAAAATATAAATAATCTAGTCTAATATTAAAAATAAATTGAGACATATTTATGAACTCCACATATATTAGTTTTCTTAAGAATGTATTACAAAGTATACATGATATCCAAATAACTGATTTTGCGTATTAATTATGATATAATAAAAATGATATTGTTATAATATGCAGTACATTGTAGATATAGAACCTACAACCAAATACAGTGTTAGATCTCCATGTATTTGTGTTTGCATGCATTATATTTAGTGTGCTTATTGGACATGTAATACAGAGCACCAGGAACAAGTCCTCAGTGAAACAAAAGTGCAACCATAAAATTATTTTTTTTTATCTTTTACAAAAGTTAAGAATTCTTTTTAAACAAGACTGAAATTGAACTCTTGCCTCAGGGCCTGAGCTGTCTGGAGTCTTTCCTCCCCAGTGCACCTGAGCTCTGTCGCCTGGTTCAACAATTCACCGTATCACAGTGCATGGCTGCTGCTGCTGCTGCTGCTGCTGTTGCTGCTTGCTGTAGATATGATAAGTCAGTCTAGCAAGACTGTCTGGATGTTTCTGTCTCGTTGGTTTCAGAGTACATTGTGAAACTGAAATGAGATGTGCTCAGTCTGCATACTATCAATCTGTTGGCTTTCTGATTGAGTTCTCTATCATATCTGCAAGAGGTGAAACATTATTGAACACAGCTAGTGGTGTTTGTGTGGAATCCAAGCTTCATATGTGTTTCTTATTGAGCAACGATGCTTTTCAAATGAATGAGTAGCACATATATTTAACTGACGATATGATCTGTACAGATTTGACACAAATCACCGTTTTTGTTTTGCCTTCTTGGCCGGTGACAACCGTGACCGTGTTCGGGTTGTCTGTACGTGTTTGCGTTGACATGATATTTCATCAATACCTGGAAGGCATAATGACCACCTGGACTCAAAGAGGAACTGATAATAGCTTTTGGTGGACAAAGGTTACTGTGACCTCACAAAACACATTTTTAACCATAACTCAAGAGATAATTAGCTAATTATGATCATTTCACACACATTTCTAATAAGATAAAATGATGAAGTGATGACACACATTGTGTTCTCACTGAAAAATGTTTCTGAACAGAAATCTTTGATTGTGGCTCATAAATGTTACACAATCCCCATTGCCCTGAGCTGTTTGTAAGGTGTGGGTAGCCATTGATGCCAAGTGAGGTGGACAGAAATCCCTGGAGGAACAAGGGTAGGGCAACGTAACCGCATCATAAGTTTTGTATTGGACCACTACTACGTCAGTGCACACGCAATCCTAAAACGTAACATAAAAACCTTCTACTACATGAAATGCTGAGAAATTGAAATTATAGTTTCATGGGTAGAAGAATGCAGAAGCCTTTCCCCCTGTTTGTTGAATACAGCACAAGATAATTGCCATGTCATACAACAGCTTGAATAACTAAAAAAACATTTTACACTTTTTTTTCTCTTTTTAAGGACAACATGTGTATATTCTCTAACTCAATAAGATGTAATGTGCTTTACAAGAACAACAAAGGTGGCATTTGCAAATCGTATACCATGATATCCATTTAACTGCTTTTAGTTCATACTACAGACTGCCATAGCATCAAGACTAAAATGTCTAAACAAGGGGGTTTGGGTTTACTCACAAAAAGATGCTAATGAATTGCGAGACATAACGGGGTTATTTAAATCGTTGCAGAACTGGTCATATGTAGTTCTGTGCTGTACCTCGAGCAATGTTGGCAACATTTAGAATTCTGTACATGGTGATTTAATAACTGCTCCTGTACCAGATCCAACTGGCTCATCCCCCTCATGCTGATTTCCACCTGCTTTGAAGGATGTGCTTGGGGGATTGTACTTCCTCTGGTAACCATACCTCTTTTCTAACCAAGCCACATTATTAAATACAGTATTATTGAGCGTGGCTATAATGTTAGGATGCCTTGTTAATTGCAAACTGGGAAATCACTTACCAAGGAGGTACAAAAACTGCAAGAAAAATACAAACACTGCGGGATAAATTCAATAAGTGCAATAATAAAATTGACCGATCTATCACTGTCGATGTGTGGGGTATGATTATTATTTATATTGTTTATACTGCGTATGGACAGACTTAAGCCCAGTTGCTCAATGTTACCAACCACCAATCGCAAAAAACCTTTATTTTTCAACATACACGCCTCGTGAGGGCTTCCAGGCTCTACTCTTTTACATTTTTTAAAGTAGCCTAGGGGAATGTTCGCTGGATAGCACAACCAAGCAGGAGGTATGGTATGAGTTAAACATATTGCACAGTCACGTCTTTTCTGATGTTGTACTGTTTGTACTGTACTGGTGTGTTATTTGTTGGTCTTGTGAAGCACATCAGACAGATAATATGTAAATTAACTTTACCAACTGTACTTACTTGCCCCCTACCTATTGGAGCCTCTCTGCCCTCTTAAGCATTTTGTGTTTATGTTTCTGCCAAGTTTAATGAGCCAGCTATGATTTTTGCTATTTTTTTCATTATTTGAACAACATTAGGCCTGGTATTAGAATAGTATCTGGTCCGTTACCACATGATTTGTTTAGCTGTTAACATTATTTGGCTTATTCATGAACTCAGCTCCCAGTTTATTACCTATGGTGTTTGCACAGATGTTTTGCTATGAACTTAACTTCCCCGATGTGGAAGGAGAGGCAGTGACGGGTGTGTGTCAGCAATTATCAAGTATCACAATGTAACTTTTTAAAAATTCAGTCCAAATATTTGACATTGCGCCACCTGCCTACTTATACCAGGTCAGTTGTATAATCGTCCAACCACAGTTAGAGCAGGTTGTAGGGAAAGAATAATGGTCATGTAATATTATTGTATCCATCAGTGGTGTATTGTGGATGTTGTCTTTCATACTTACAGTACACCACAATCACTAACACATACATACCAGTATGTACTGTTTTTGCCTTCCACTTTTTGTTGTGTTAAGTACACTTCTATACACTTCCTTGACTTTGTGATGTCATCAGACTGGGACGACCCGGGGTGGACTGCTACTGTCAGCATGACAGCGGAGCAGCTGTTCTTCATCTACAGTTCCTCATCAATGAGGTACGCCAAACTTCCATTACAATGCTTTCGTAGCGCTGTGAGTTTTAAAGCTGCTTTTGTCACACTTTGAACTGTCATAGCCACATGTTATCAGCAACGTCTTCTCACTGTCCACATGAATGCCTTCTTCTTGAGGGATTTTAAATTTACCAGTTTATTGGAAGTCATGTTACCCAATGAAATAGTATGACCTTTTTTTCTGTTTTGTCTTTGTTTTATAGTTTCTGGTTGACAGTGGAGTTGAATTACTTGACTTAGTAGTGGAGTACAAGATTTGTGTGACGTGATAAAATATCACTGAAGACCTTTTTTCCCCTCATTTCTGAAATATGAAGCATCTATTAAAAGGCAGATGAGACGTTCCTCTTAGTTGCTAGCCCGTTTGATTTAGAGTATCTTGGTTCATGCAGATTTTTTTTTTCACTTTCATGACAATAATGTCACATTGAATTGAAAAAAATGATATTGAATTGAGATTGTTACAATTATTTCTGGTCTCTGTTCGAATTTTAACGTAATTAATTAAGGAATTTAACAGAAAATTGATACACACCATATATCGTCAGTAAATCAAATAATGTGAGTGATTGGTAAGATTACTAAAAACAAGATAGTCTTACCTTTGGTCATGTTGTGATTGCAGAAATGATGAATTCAATTTCACACTGTTGGTATTGTTTCTGACTGTAGGTGGGTTTGTTTTCCAATTCAATGGATTGACTCGGATGGATTTCATTTCAGTTTATGAGAAGTGTGCCCTCAATGTGTCAAACTTAATAGTTTGAGAAACTGAAATGTTTTCTAAATTGCTTTTAACTAATATATTTTCCATGTGGAAGTGCGGATGTTGCCATACACAGCAGCTGGCTTTGTGCGATCACGTATCACATATCACGCGAAAATCCGTCAGATGGTTCTGTGTAACAACCCATCTGGCGGGTCAGGTTAGTGCCGTACTCAAACACATTTCTGTCGAAGGAGAACAGCCGGAGTGAAACCGCTATATACTGGCATTTATATTAAAGCATCATGACCATATGATCGTGACTTTCAAGACATTTAATGTTTTCCTCTCTGCCTTGTGAAACCATTTTCCCTCACTGCTTGTTCTTCTACTGACAGACCAGTACTGTGTGGGTTGACACATGGCAGTGCTCTGCGTCAGTATTTCAGGACCTTTAACAGCAGCTTTCTCACTGTCATATTTTGTTTTGGAACAAAATACTGTAGGTGTATGAGTAACAAAAAGGGCCTTGTTGTAAGTTGAAGAGCAGGATCACAACGCTGTCTCTCTCTTTGTGTTTTTAGTTCTCGTCTCTCCTTCATTCTGTCGTAATCTACGCACTCTTCCTGACACACTCAATGTCCCACTCCATTTCTTTTCAAGCCCACTGGCTCTTTCAGCCCACTCCTCTATCACTCATTGGCCCACTCAATGTGTATGAGGTAAATGGAGGTGGATGGGGCTGAATAGGGGTGTGCGTGTGCTGGCGTGACAGGTATTAACTTATGTGTGTGGGTCTAAATATATGTTTAAGCACCTGAATGTTGTTGAGTATCTTAACAGTGTGTATTTGGTTGTGAGCATGCATGCTACACAGCTTATTTTGACGTTTCACAAATAGCTTTCTAATCAAGTCCGTATCGGGAGGAAGTTGGGGTAGATGGTTGGGTCAAACATGAACAGGACTTTCACCCAGGTGTCTGATGTGAAACCCAATGTCAACATTGTTTCATTTTAATTTACGTCTGCCACAAAAATACCTATTTTATGCCAAAACATGATGTTTTTACTTGGGCTGGACACGGATATTCTATCATTATGACATGCATAAAACACACCATACCTTTTAGAAAATGCTTCGTATCAATAACGAATAACAATACAAACAAAATTAGACTGTAGAATAATAGAATCATTTTTTTTTTTGCCTCTGATAAAACAAAAAGACACGTGAAGCAGCACTATGCTGTCCATCAGCCAAGAATGGAGAAAATGCCCAGAGAGACGCCACGGCTTTAGGGGGAGAGGGGCTTGCAGACGTGACTTTGAGGTACGTCTTCACTTGCACACACACAGAGGAATGAGATGCTGGCGTGCAGACAGGCCTGTGTGCACCGTCTACATGAGGCGTTAAAAATAGCACTCGTGGACTCATCGTGAATCAATTTTGTTCGAAAAAACAATTGCTGGGAAAGCCTGTGAGTGTGTGACAGAGGAATTGTGCTGGTTTAATGACACAACTCGGTGCTGACTGAGAGAAGTGCTCCTCCGGTCACAGACGTCCCTCGTGGGCTCCAGGTTGAATCATCTTTCCCCTCGCTCTGTTCCGGCTGGAGCTTCGAATACTTGCAATTTTGAAGCCCGAAAAATGATAATCAGGGCAGCCTTGGTTTTTACCAAACCTAACCAAGTTGAGTTGTTGCCTAAATATAATGTAATGTAATTGAGAATGTAGTTTAAATGTATCGGAACATACTTTTTGTAAGAGGTAGGTTTGTGCTGAATCAGTATGTGGGGTCAAGTGTGTCTTATTTAATTAGTGGGTTTATAAAACACGTGTGTTTGATAGCCTCAGTGTGTTTTGCGTGTGTTTGTGTGTGTTTGTGTGCCACTGACACAGTTTTGTCTGTGCATTTGTTCTTGTGGTATTTCCGAATTTATTTATGCCCTTTCATGTTTATTTTTTGACTTAATTGCTTGGGGTTCTGCATACAGTGTGTGTGCGTGTGTGCGTGCGTGCATGTTTGTGTGTTTTAGTGTTTGTGTGCTACACGTGTACATTCACACTCCCCGCTGCTTTCTCTTATATTAAAGAACAGAACATCACAGTGACTTCTGCAGCTTTTCTCATTGTTCCACAGTGACTAAACGCAGTGCTGTAAGTCAATGCCCTCTCTTGGATTCAGTGTGTGGGTCGTCGGCAGCCTTGCTAATGGTTGACTTAGATATTCAGACCGGCCTCTTGACATTCGCCGAAGTGTAGTGACATATTCCTGTTCGATGTAAGAGCTCACTAAAGAGGCCGCCTCTTGCAGGAGCCTGTGAATGATGAGCTTGTGCATGTGTTGAGGATATGTATATTCTCTCCGCCACACAGAAGTCACACAGAAGTCACACAGAAGTCACACAGTTCAAAAGTTCTAGCTGTCAATCGTTTTATTATTCAGTCATAATCTCATACCATGTCTCTCTCTTGCCATTTTATGAGGAGATTTATTTTTCTGTCAGTGTGCTGTGCGGAGGGTATGACGAGGCTAATTAATGTGTTTGTTTACCTATTCTGAATTCATTATTTTGCTCGATGAATAATACATCTAAAGAGTCTTGAGGGGGCTGCTGAGGGTTGGTGTCAGATGAGGTCAGATAGTGGAGGGGGTGGGGCAGTGGGGGGGGGGGAATGCTGAGGGAAGGAAAAGGTGAGGAGGATTGTTGTGCAATGCTGAGGGCTAGATTAAAGGAGTGTTCTGCAGGAGCACTCTAAAGATGTTAAATATTTGTCCTTAAAAAAATATATAAAACTCTCCAGAAATAATCAGATAAGTGATTCTACTTAAAAACATCTTGGTTTGTAGAGTGTCCTTTTATTAGTGAGGTATTACTGCTTTAACCCTGAGACCCACATGGACCCATTTTTTTGTCTTTTTCTGTAAACTCAAAAAGACTGTCAATATTGAAAAAGGTTTTAATGGGTACCCATGAGTGTCCCCTTTACAGACATGCTCACTCTATGCTAATCCAATGCTCACTTTATGCTAATCCAATGCTCACTTTATGCTAATCCAATGCAGTTTGGGGCACAAACTATGCAAAGTATGTTTTTGTGAAAGTGATATTTTTGCCTTATCTAAAATGCTGTATTAAATGTTGCCCCATACTAGGGTCCCTAAACAGTCTTGGAATTGCATACATTGTGTACGGCTTCAATCAGCCTAATTGCATTCATGTGTAATGATGTTAGTCCCCATCGTAGCTAGCTAGCATGATGTGGTTGGTACCTATGGATGCCGTAGGTCGTCTTTCATATGATAGCAATATCTTCTCTCCTAGCTTTAAAAAACTGAACACGCTGGAGCCTCTTAAAGACAGTAATGTCAGAAATCTCTGGGAAGGGGTCCAAAAATTATATTTTCCAAGCACTTTGCCATCTGCTGCATTAATGAGGTACACAGCAACAGACAGCAGAGATGGGAGTGTACTTAAGGAACAGACAAACTAACCATTCCTCTGAACTGGTATGTTGATTTAATGGTTTAAGCTACAGGGAAAACTTTGTTGTTGAATATTTTTAATAAGCCCCTTCACTTTTCCACGAAAATTCTCGAAACAGAGACACTGCAAATGTTCTCACCCCTGCTGCATTTGTTTTCAGAAAAAAAACAGTTTTACGATCTATTCTTATAAGTTGTTGAGTCTCATGTTCAGTGGGAAAGATCTTCGAGAGGACCAACAGGAATAGCCGGAGGACAGACGGAACAGAGTTCAACACATCCAGGCAGCCGGACACACACCCCATTAACCTTTGACATGACCTGGGATTGGAGAACTGAATTAGCTCACAGCAGCTGGTGAACCAACACAAAGTGTAGTTGTCTTAACTTTAATACCTGAAATAAAAATGTCCAGGTATGTTTTTTGAAGCGGTATTGATTTACAAGACTGTGATATGTTTAGAAAGCTGTCAGGCAGATACTCAAACCTGCTGCTATTTGCCTTTTTTTCAGCTTCAGAAAACTTGAAATACATATCTTTTTATATATTTATTGGAGAGATGTATAAAGGAAACTATGAATTGACTAGACTACTAATCCTCCATTTTGTGGAGCAATAATACACATAAACGCACCTAAAGTAATCTTCTAGATGTTTTTGTTGTGCTATTTCCTCTTGGCCCTGCAGATTGCCCTTTTACCCACGCTGTGTACTGTAAATGCACTCGAACGTCTCGCCTGTGTTGCCATCGAGACATCAAGATAATTATACCATAATGGGGTTGTGGACCCGGCTATCACCTCTCCCGTTCTCTTACCTCTCCGTCTGGTATGAATTTTCATTAGCGGCTGCTCCACCTCCTCTCACTCCTTCAGGTGACAGGAAATAATATTCAAAATGATCCCTCGACTGTGAAATTAGATTAAACTTTAATCGTTCAAATTACCTGAGGGTGCCGTTTTAGGATTGTTTAGGACAAGACTGTTTTAAACTAATCGGGGCGCAAATATAAAAAAGATTTATTAGAATCTAACATGGAAAAACAAAAACAAAAGAAAAAAAACATCGAAGCCTGTATCAGGCATTCTCATTTCCTAATTTCCAAATGCCAAGTAATCATCAATGCATCCCCCATCAGTCGTATTTGATATGGCTAAAGAGAATCATAATCTTTTTTTATATCTGTGGTGAGAGAGGAGTCAAACAAAATAGGAGACAGTAGACGAAATTCTCAAATAATTATGTTCTTCATTTAATCTGTCTTTCCTAATTTAGGAAGATTATTTATGTTTGTTTCATAAACAAGGTTTCATTGCTCACTTTAGGCTTTAATGAAGAAGCATCATTTCAGTGAGACGTGAGAGTCACAGGAGGTACTGAAAAGTGAAGGTCATTCATTTATATTGAGAACTTGGATGGGGGTAAAAGGAGGATTTATTCACAGATCAAGCGTTTTTACTAGACAGGACTTAAACCTTTTATTGTATCAATGTAATAAATGTTTTTTTTCTCTCAAGAATAATCACATTGATGGCTAGTTTGTATACTGACATAGGACTATCTGTGTGTTTTCTATAAGAAAAAACATTGTGAAAATGCTTCCACACACGCACATACAAAATGCCCAATTTATTATATAGTACCGTGTATCTCCAGTCTTTTTATTCTTACCATTTTTTCCCTTATAATAACAAAAATATGATTCAACAAATATTTTTACTAAAGAGAGTGAGAGTTTCAGGGAGTGGGGAGAACATGTTCACCGATATGGAAATCACTGGGAAGAATGTTTTTATCCTCCCTTGCACTGTACAGTCTTTAATCCCACGATTAACTTTGTAATCTAAAGCTTATTCTCCCTGGGCCCCAGTCTTTACAGTGATGCCCTATTAGGAAAGCCGCACTGGGAATTTCACTGTAATTACAATCCTCAGAACTTGGAAACCAGCTGACATCATTTGAAAATAAGTCCCCTCTCACAATTCTCATCCAATTTTATATGATTCTGTGTGATTTTGCTCTGAACCAGGACAGTCATCCATCCATTATCTGGAACCGCTTATCGGAGTCGCAGGAGGGATTGGGCCGATCTCTCTTCTCGCCTATATATGGAAAGGTTGCCAGATTATCCCAGGGCTGACACACAGACATCAACCCTTCACGCTCGCAACAGTCACACAGACATGTCATCAGATAACCTAAGCTGCATGTCTTTGGAACCCGGATAAAACGTACGTGGAGAACATGCAAACTCCACACAGAAATGTTGGTCAGAGGGTTCGAATCTGGGTTCCTCTCGCTGTGAGGCAACAATGCTAACCACTATAGCACTGTGCATTCTGTCTGTGGACAAGTGGAACTGTTATCTGAAAAAGTCTGTGATTAGAATTAAAGCTGGCGTAGGCAGTATATTTTTGGTGTCATTGGGCAAAGATTCCATAATCACCTTTCAGCATAGTGTAATTCTAGTGGTACCCCAGGGTGGGCAGTTTTCTGGAAAAGGCTTTTTAGATCACAATCCCCCCAAATAAACAACTATTCATCACTTATTTTCTCTTTACTTCTTATTTTTTAGTTTCTTAGTCTGACACTGAAACACAAGGCCCCCTTTAGCGCCTGAACAAAGTGGTGGCATTTGACGACCTGGTTGCTACAACAGGTTGTTACATCGCTGTGTTTGTATGTGCTCGTTGCTGCTCTACCTGACTCTTCACTCTCGGCCACACGAGCCGAACGAATAAAGCATTCTCTTCGGCTGCATTTATTCTAAAGGTGTCCGCATAATGATTCATTACTGACATTTTCTCTCTTTTTTTTATCTTTAGGGTGCGCTGGTCACAGCCTGTGCAGATGACACACTTCACTTGTGGAATCTCCGTCAAAGGCGACCGGCTGTCCTCCATTCACTTAAATTCAATAGAGAGAGGTAAGCATCAATTCCCCTTGATAAAACAAATGAACACAAACAGGTACACCCTCAACCACATCATGCACACAAACTCCACACCTTGCTCCAGTGAAAGATGGCTGTGCCTGTCTGAGGTCAGTACATACTATTTTACACAGGCAGTGAGGGATAAGCTCCCCAAAACCCCGCTAACTACAGGAGCCCAAAAACACAGTAATAGCTATAATACTTTAATCTGCATCCGGTAATTTTCAGCACCTTGACAGCTCTAATCAGAGATCTGAAAGAGTTGTCTCTTATTTCACAGATGTATCACTTTTAGAGCTCTTTTCCTAAATCCCTGATACCACTAGGCAGTGCCTTCTAAGCCCTAGAAAGGCCCCTACTCATCCCACATCCCAACCCACCCAGCATATACTGGCTGCCGAACCATCTCTCAGCTGCAGCATCGGCATCAGTCAGAGCTTTTCCACCAGGAAGACACATTTAATCAGTTGAGTCTGGAAGACAGGGAAGCAGAGTGTTGACAGGAGAAGGCCGGCTCCTCTGTCCTGCCTCTGATCCTTTTTCACCCTGTCTGACAAACCTGAGAAGGAGGATCTGCTGGCTTGAAGCTCTCTCTTCTGTCTCAGCTGGCGACCCCTTCTGCCTTATGTGCCACCCTCAATAACACCACCGCAGGCTGTCAGAGCTGACTTCTCAGTGGTTATTAAGCAGCTGAACCCATCTCCTTTGACATGTTGCCAGCCACCCAAATCCTCAAGACACATAATGCAGTTTTCACATGGCTAGAACCTGGCATCAACGGAGACAGCTGGTGGTATATTTTAAACTGATAGATAGGGTGTTTTGAAGTCGGGTTGTATAAGGTACGTATCCATAGTTAGTCTTACAATACATGTAGGTGGCGACGCAAAGTTATGTACCGCTGTGGACAGGGGCTGCAGTAAAACTCCACCATTAAACTTTAATGGCAAATAATGGATTCTAGATGCTGATGCTTGGTTTTTGGAAACATCTTCCCTCTTTTCTTCCTTGTGAAAAGATTTGGGCCTTCTGGAGGTACACAGAGTTGACTCAGTTGTCAAAGTAAATAATCTCAATATCCTCCCTCAGCATTCTCTGAAACAGGTTGTTCAATCTGGGTCTGGCCACTGCAGTTGTTTACTTATGCAGAGCACACAAGCACAGCTCGCTATTTGTGTCCACAGGGCATAATAGCAAGCTATTGGTGTGTGGTAAAACGAGCACTACTGTGTCATGACAGGGGTTGCAATTGTTCAGGTTTGCAAAGTCTGTGTAAACAGATTGAAAACCTTTTGTATTGTGTCTGCCTTAGTTCTAGAAAGGGCTCTCTAAATGTGCCATAAACCATCACATGGTCAACATCAGAGGACGCTCTTTTTAATATCAAGGCCAGTTGGCTGGCCGTTCGGGAAACAGCAAGTTGATTTCCACCTTGTACCTCCTGAGTCACGGGCAAGGACATTTAATGAATATGACCGCTTTCCCACTAAATGTGATGGAATATAATGTGCAATCAAAAAGCAAATGAGGTGTAGTAAGTAAGATTAAGACAATGTCATTGTAGGCATACAATAAAATTATGTTTGGTAACTTTCCGTGACCAGCAGTAATCAAAAATGCTGCTGTATGACTGAGAACACTTGAGCCGCTGCATCTGCGTGAGCCACCATCAGATAGATTTTAGATTTTATTAAGTTTTCTTTATTCTTCCTGTTCATGAAAATGCAGGGTCACAGTGTTAATTCAAGTGTTACTTTTGATGAGTACATGTGATTGCCAAACGCAACCCAATTGCAATTACAAGTCAAGGACAGCTGAGTCACAGGGCATCATTTCTCTCCACTGGAACTTTCCATCACAAGAGATACAGAAAGCTTTCTCGCAACGAAAAATATCAACGCTGTAAAAAAGCACATTAAACACAAACTCGACCAAGGCCACTTTCATATTGCAACAGAGCCTTAAAGGATAATGGGCTGCAGGAGTTTTTTTAAATCCATGTACTGTCTGCAAGTTGTTAGCAAGAGAACTGTTTGTCTCTGCGTCTCAGGGTTCAAGTCATTAGTGTCTGAGAACTTTCCACATCTTTTAGGAATTTATATCAAACCTTGTTCAAATTTTAATGACTTTTAAACAGAGGAATCGTGTAGTTTTAAACCCTAAATGTACTTCCGGAAAGAGGCAGGCAGCGACTGTTGTCTCTATTGTTTCCAATGTAAACATGCCAGCCATAGAAACAGAGCCAAAGGCGTCATACTGTAAGGCCATGCCCACAGGAGGGGAAAACATTCAGTGCCCCAATATGCAACCAGGGGCTGAAACGCTAAAAAATCGCCTGTAGCGAGCTAAAAACATCAGATTCCAGCATGTCAAAGGATTATTTTTGCACCCTATGCCTTTTAAAAATGCCTAATTCAGATAGTCCACAGATTTTATATTTTACATTCATAACCTAGCCGCTGGACCTTTTCAGTGTGTGATGCACATGCCCACACAAACATGTGGAGGCAGAGGTTAGGAATAATGTTCTGTATCAAAAGTGTTGAAAACCTGTTTCTGTAGCGTTCTACCTGTCTTGTGATGCAGTGTGGTAGGAAGCAGAACCACTAACTCTCAGTGGCAGAGCAGTGAATCATGCTCCAAGATAAAAGGAGAAAAAAGGCATCATGAGTCATCCGTCAGAGGCCGGGCAGTGATATTGCCATCTAGACTGAATATCTGACAATTAGCACCCTAACACGCCGAAGAATTCCCCAAGAATAACTTCCTAATCACTGGAAATGGTGTAGGGAATTGTTTTGTGATAACTGTCAGTGTCTCGTGTCTGCCACCCCCCTCGACTGTCATGCTGTTGTCACAAAGAATTTGAAGAATCTCAGTCCAAACAAAACACACACACTACAATACATGAAACATTGGACACTTTTGCACACTACAAAGAGGCATTTGAGCTAATGTAAACATCTGTATTTTCGAGCTATCCGACATGAATTCCTTGAGCAATTGTGTCATGTCTCCTGCAGAGGAAATGACAAGGCCAGTTCCCAAGATGATGTCACCAATTCAATTCATCTCTAAATCGTTTTACTTCATTATGAGTATTTGCTGCTGGTCTTGCAGTGGCCGGTCAGCCGGCAGCCAGACCCACGTCTCCTGCTGTCCTCTTTAATTGATAATTATAAGACCCTTTGATGGGGCCTGGTCTGACTGTATGGAATCAAAACTATGCCTTCCACAATCTCCAAATTTACTTCTGGATCTGTAATTATCACTACTTACCTCCTTCCTCTTTATGTCATCTTTTCATCCTTTCTCCCTTTGAAGTTTTCCCTTAAACCCACGTCTTTTATTGGATCCTTCCTGTGACATTTTATATAAACGGTCAGCTCATAACGGAGGTAATCAGTGCTGAGATGCTTCTCTATAGAGGCCCCATTTCTTTCACAGGGAAAACATTATGACTCATCGGGTTACTGCAGATATGCTTTTTGAAATATGGCAATTTAGATGAATAACTATCAAAAGTTTTCCACAGTGATAGGACATTTGCACCATTAGATGTTCACTGTGCCTAATACAAGTTTGTGAAGAGGTTTTGATCTCGTTTATTGCTTTCTGTGTAGAATTAGACCTACTAACCCTCAAAGGTCAGTCACTTCCTCAAACAAATGAATATGTAAATTTGGTGTGCTCAGACTAAATGCATGTTGTAAAAGAAAGAGGACTGTATAATCCTTCATCACTCGCACCCACCCACCCCTGCCAGTTTGAATATTGTCATCTCCCCGAGCCCCTAAAATCCTTATCGAATTGTCTGCCATCTCATTTGTCTGCTATCTAATAATCCTGCCGCTTGCTGGGTGGGTGGATGTGGGGCTAGAGCCCAATGACCCCTCCCCTTCTACAAGGTAATCAGCAATGACAGGAGTGACTTCGTGTGTGCTGAGCTTTCTTCGATGGTTTGGGGTTTATGAAGATGTATCTTTCTCTTTCTTGCACGCGTACACACACGCGATTTTACGCTATTGAAGGAGAACCCCATACAATAGCTTATCAACGACCCAGTGAGACAATATTAGTGGATCAAAGAAGATATTTTACATAAGTTTAATTTCTATATCTATACAGAGTTGTAAAACTCCTTTGATAGGACATGCGAGCAGTAAGAAAGCTTTGCTGACGCATCCAGTGGACATTGTAATGTGAAGACTGTCCGCGGTGGGCTCCGGTAGCCGTTCCTGAAGCGCTGCAGTGTACACGTTTTCTTTGATCAGGCCTCTGCTGTCCAGTGAAACATGTTGCACTGTTATCATGTGAAAGTCTTCGTATGAACCCCTCATACATATGTTGTAGTTCAGTGTCACTATAAAGGGCAGGAAGAGCGAATGTAGGTGTGAATAACTATACGTAAGGCTCTGTATTGTGGAGGAAAGTAGATTTTCGCTTTTCTGCTGAGTGAAAAATTCACCTTGATTAAGAAGTCAGGCCATGACGTCCGTGAATGAGTCAGGGTTCTAAGAAGAAGGGCATTCATTACCATTAAAAACTGGCTCAGGAAGTCTGCCAGTAGACGACAACTTGGCTAGAATGCAGTTTTAATCACTTTGTCTGTTGTCCAAAAATTGCGTCATTGAATTACTGCCTTATATCCCATGCCTGTTCGATTGATTGGTTCATGTTCTGCCCAATAATTGATTTTTTGCCTATATTTTAGAATGAATCAATTCATTTTGAATAAGAATAGGTGTTTGCCAGTTATTAGTTGACTGCATCATATTGCACACAATTATGTACTGTTTACATAACTGAAGCTTGAACCTAATTATCCTAATCCTTATAATTGGCAGCTTGAAAGCACCTGGTTTGAATGAAAGCAGAATGTGCACAATATCCAGAGGTGAACGTCAAGAATTGTAGATCAATGTGCTTATGTACAAAATACACTGTTTAATTACACCACACAGACACACTGATCCTTCCAATCCTTCAAACAAACTGAACCATCGACCCCTTTGTGACTGTTCATATTCTAACACTCGGTCTCTCTTCTCCTTTGTCTCTTGTTCTCCAGGATCACGTTTTGCCACCTTCCCTTTCAGAGTAAATGGCTGTATGTGGGGACCGAGCGTGGAAATACACACATCGTCAACATCGAGTCCTTCATTTTGTCTGGATACGTCATCATGTGGAACAAGGCCATAGAACTGTAAGTTGTCCATGCTCCAAATACTGGATTTGACAGAAACAATGCTGATCAGTTATGGATAACAGTGATGTCATTTTAATGTGATCAAATACGACGATGCCAGTGGTGTGAATGGCAGTGGGTCGGGCAGTCAGTTGGCAGTTCAATATCAAGCTGCACTTTACTCGGTCTTGTATGCAGTCTTAAAGCCTTGTTTTCCCTAAAATAAGATTGGAAGATATCATCTGTCAACAGGGGTGACATAACTTGTAAATTTGACTGAATGAATTGTTAAGATACATACATTTCACAGTGGGCCATAAAACGTCTGAAGAATACAATTGCATCCACAGCCTTTCTCCTTCCACTGTGTTAATGTTCCCAGTTGGCTGTAAACATTCTCGATGTTATATAACGCCTCACTTTTGGGCGTGATATTATTCGTCAGTCAACAGAAGCCTTCATTCATTTGTTGACATGTACTTTTGTTTGTTGCAAGTTTTGCATGTGTGGCTGAAATATGCTGCAGATTAACAACTTCAAGTGCCATAAAGTACACAAATGGTGCTGAGTTGCATTGTATGCCCGCTTGTTTTCTGTTGGTTTCACCCACCTACGCAGCGTTCTTCTGGTGTTACCCTGATAAGTCCCCTGCTGCAGTGTCAGTCACAAGTCACTCTCATACCGAGCCATCGTGTTGCCTTGTGACAGCCCAAACTATAGTGAGCAAGTCATAACACTGAAGTGTACGTGTTGGGGGGGGTCTGTCTGCCAATCATTGCTAAAGTCTCGGAGGCTGAGGCGGTGGATGGGATTTTAACAGGATATTTGGTTTGCTGGTTTCTCACCACAGAGTGGACTTTTTTGTTTTTGCACATCACTTAAAATAACTTTCTTCTATCTATAAAGGTTTACATTGTTTTGTTTAGATCTGTAAGTATTAGTTAGTACTACTCAATGAATTATTTGATGAACAGGTAATCTTTTACTGCAAAAAAAACACAATAGAGTAAAATGGTATCCCACAGTGGTGTGACACCTGAAAAAAAGATAAAAGTGAGAGAAGAAGATAAAACAGTATTTAATATTCATGAAATGTAGCATTCAATCTAATTGGAAAAGAGCCACGGTGCACTACATCATACAGCAAAGGCCACTGCTTTAATGGGTGAAGACACTGTTTAAACCTTCATCTAGTAGCTAAATTGGTCACAAGATGAGATGCGTTACAATCTGCCTGATTCAAGTGACAATGGATGATCAAACACATCGTACATTAGTTTCCTGGAAATGAACGGATCTAATGTCCAGAATAACTTCCTGTTTACTTTGTAGCTCACTATATTTAACTTCTACCATTCTATTTAAATATGCCAATTCTGACTGGGAAATGTGTGTACTATATGGTGCGATCAGAAATCCCCCCCTTTCCAAAAATACTACTTTCTGCTAGCAATCTGCTAATATTGGAGTTTATTTAACTGGTGCGGTGCCTGTGCGGGGGAAGCCTATTGCTTGGCTCCTGGAAGGTGCTTACAGCGCTGTCGGGGGGGCATGCCCGTGCATTGCGTGCGGCCGTTCAGAATGCGTTCAGAAAATTCAACAAAGCACTCCCTGGGCCACACCCGACAAGTGTGAAGTATATCAGATGAGTGGTTCTCGAGATATGCAAATAACACACAGACAGACAGAGATGCCTTGTTTTAGTCTTGAATTTATAATCAGTTATATAGTGTTACACAGGCAGATAATAAATCTAATCAGAAGGTAGAGCGGGTTGTCCTTTGATCCCCGGCTACTCCTGTCCACATCTCAAAGTGTCCTTGAGCAAGACACTAATCCCCCAGTTGCTCCCAAGTGCTTTGCATGGTGGGTCGGCCAGCATCGGTGTATGAATGTGTGTGTGAATGGGTTAAAAACCCTTTGTACGGTAAGATAGGAAATGCAGTCCATTTACCATCAATTTACCTTTTATTTTACTTTACCTAACAGTATTTAGATAATTGAATTAGCTTTAAATTTGACACAATTTTGAAACTTGTAGATATTCAGTTGATATAAATATCTTGTAGCCAAGGAGCCCCCCCCCAAAAAAACACAATTGGGAGAGTGGAAATCTACTCTCGCCATGAAATTGAGACCTTATGCATCCAATTGAATCTGAATATTTACAGAATAGTTACTGACATTTTGGAAAGTCGGATCTTTGCTGTCATCTGGCCTATGAAGGGACGGTTGGCTACCCTAACGAGCTGCTGATTAGACAGATGAGGAGCCAGCATTGCCAGGTGCCTCAAATGACTATCTGACTTCAGTTTGTAGGGTTGTATTGTGTCACATGTTAGATGAAGATGCTATGCACACAACGCTATGCTGTTCTGACTATAGGCAATAGGTTTCTCTACACTCCGTATTATGTTCTGCTTGAGCATACACTAACAGTCAGCACTCTAACAGTCAGCACTCTGCACCTTTCTGAAGTGAGGTTCATTGAAAGTTGAACAAGAGAATGAATATTCTCTCATCAACACAGAGCGACTGGGGAGTTTCATAGTTTGGCTGAGGAGTTTTTCCGCTCAACATGAATATGGATGAGGGGGTACTTTTCTGTGTTTCCTGCAGCGGAACGTTGTGTGAGCAAGGGATAACTCATCCACCCTCTCCACTGTGTACAAACATCAGATTGTGAGTCACACAGTATTCGTTGTGTGTGTATGTGTGTATTTGTGTTTTCACAGTGTTCGTTTGTGCGACAGCCATTCACAGATGCATTCGTTTTAATATGGACCAAAGTGTGCTCTCTTGAAAATAATCTGTTATAGCAACAATTCAACTGGGGCCACTGTGCCCAGACAGGAGGGCCCGGGCTCTCATTCAAATTCAAATGGGTTTTTGCAACATATTTAATGCACAATTTCATCTTCAGGAAATTCATTCCAAAATGAGATGCAAGGAGAAGTGGGAAAACACGGCCGCACGCTGCTCACTCTGCTTCAGTTCATAGATCCCTGTGATGAGCAGAATTTTGTTTACGCCTGGCATCATGTCAGCCGTAATCAACATTGGCATGTTTGGCTATTTCTGTTATTGAGATTATAAAATAACAATGAGCTTTCAGCGTCCCCCTGGTTCCTTTTTTGTAACATCTTACAATGCAAAGACATGCTCCAAATATACTTGGGAGCAGAAATATATGGCAACAGTAACCCTGTCTCCAAAATATACCATCAAGTTCCAAATACATTTGGAAAGAAATCTAATGCTGCCTGGTTTTACGCCTTGTCGGTGTTTTATCAAGAACTACAAGTGCACAATATGAGCACCATATGAAGGACAACCCCATATTTACTAGACTATACCATTTTAGATCCAGGGCATGATCGATGTGGCAGGCAGGATGAAAACCACTTGCTGCTGCAAGACTTAAGAGTCACTAAGGGCACTGTCTGCGTGTTGAAATCATTATGGAATCATAAAAAACCCAATTACCTGCCTCAATGTCGTGTCCTCAGGCTGGAGAAAAAGGTAGCTCCTTGAAGAACAGTTTGTAGTGTTTCTAAACCCTTTTTAGCAGTGACGTATCTTGTTGTAAGATGACAAATGTAAGATGGCAGCATAATAAGACTCATTCGAGACTTAACTTCAGTGTAACCTGGATTCTCATTGATCTCAAGGGCATTTTTGGATCTCTTTGTGTCCTTTTCATTTGGAGAATGTGTTAACTAGTGCCTCTAAGTGTATTCTGGGGACATTCAAAGCCCGTGAGGAGGCAGGGATAATAACCTTGTTAGTGCTCTGTTGTTGTTGTTGCTCTGTTATTAGTATGTTTCCTTAGCATATCAGGCAGAGGAAAGAGTGACAGGAAACAAAGAGGCAGGGAGATGATATCAATGACGTCAACCCTCTGATGCTTGACTCCACTGTTCCACCCAATGTAGCAATGTTATAAACGACCCACTTTCATACTTACTTGCCTTTAGCTGCTCGATAGAACACAAACACCAGACAGCGCTGAGAGGCACTATCGGGTTTTTTCTCTGTCTTTTCAGGAGAAATGTCTTGTAAGCTTGATGCGCTGCCAATCCTTGTTGTGATTTATTGAGTCCGACAAAGGAGGGAATGAAATTCTACCTTAATAGATGATATATTCTATAACTCTTGAAAAGGGTTCATGGAAATTTGAGGAGAACCACATCTTAAGCTCTGTAGGGGTACATTGTTAGCTGTTGTGCCAAAGGAAAACGTAATTACAAAGTTATCTTTCAGAAAATAACTAACTAACAATATGAAGTTCTTGCAAAATAGGTCAGCTTTAGAGAAAATGCTCGAAGGAAAAATATAAGTTTGTTGAAGGTAGACTATGGGCTGAATAGATGTTGAATCTTTTTTAAGAGTCTTCTACATGGGATAAAGTTCACTGGTTTGAAACCTTAACATTACAAATCAGTTAACTAGCTAAAGCTCAACATACTATTGTTCAGCAACTCTCTTATCATTTTGATTAATTCACACAGCTTTGTGAGATAGCGTGGCCAGACAATTTGCTCAAACAATGTACGGCAGCTAATTTATGCGCGTAAAGGGTTGGCAAGTCCGTACACTATTGAAAAATAGGTGCAACCCCAAATACAACGAGTTTAAGCAAGGTGACATTGGATTATTGTAAAAAAAAAAAAAGAAGAAATAAAAATAAATCGTAGCTCCCCTTTTGATCTCTGCAGATAACTCCACAGAACACAGAAACACTCTGAGAAATACTCTTTGTGGAAACTTGATCATTTAGAATGTGCATAAGAAAAAACACTTCCCACAGAAATATACAGTATAAATCTTCACAAGTTACAGTAACAAGGCCGCACACATCTTACTTCAAGATGGAAACGTTATCAAAAAAAAAATGACATAGGATTGAGGAAAATGTGTTCCACATTCATACTGTACACTGTGCCCACTGCGTGCCTCAACAAAGATATTTCTTTTGACATTTAAGTTAACCTCTGTGATAGTTTTGTATATTGTAGACATGTAGGAGACATGCACATGTGATTTTATGTGATTATTTGTGAGTGTATAATCGTAGACTCACAAATAACAATTCAAACATGTCATGTCATGTCGTGTTGATTATTTACTCTTTCCTAATGGTGTTGGGTTGCCATGGCTCCGCTGGTCCTGCCGGTGCTCGTGCATTGTGTTTGTGATCTCACCAGCCTCGGTCATCAATCTCTGGATGACTGCAATGAAAAACAAGGTCCTCAAAGCACATTCGTTGATTCGCTTTTTTCCGTGCTTCATATGAGCTGTAATTAAAACATTTTTCATTCTAGTGTTGTCATTTATGCAGCGTATGTGTACACCTGTTAATCAATACAGGAGCCTATTCCAGTATGCACTGGGCAAAAGGCAGGGGAGCGAGCAAGATATCCAGATGTTCTGAGCCACAACGGGCAGGATTGCTTGTTAGGTTGTGTTTTTTGGCACCGTCCTCGAGATGGTCTGGTAACATTATTGCTTAACAAGCACAGGGACACCAGTACCTTTAATGAAAGCTGTTAGAGGAATCTCACATTGGTAATACAATCAGTGTATTGTCAAATACTATTCTCTTTAGCAGACCCAGTCCCTATCTTTAAGAAATGTAAGAGTGATGTTCAGCAATATAGCCACACAGTGTCTCAGAATATATTGCTGTACCCAGCTTTGGAAATCATCTTCATTAATGTATTTATTTAATTTAAGTTTTTTTCTAAAAACATTTTCATCGGCTTTGTGAGCATTTCAAAGGCTGGCCTTGTAGGCTGAAAGCCAAACTTTATCCGGAGTCACTGAGTCAGTCAGCAACTGTCTTCAGCTCACATATTTTTCTTCACAGTGCGAAAGCTTTCTTCATACAAAAGAAATGGCCTTCGACACACAAAAGCAAGCCTTCGCCCCTCAGTCACATCCCACTCCATCCAGCATTCACTAGCTGCTGTGAACTTTTTCCTCTCACACACCTCAATAGCTTGTAAACTCAAAAGAAAATGACTGTCATGCGAGGCACAGTGTCCGCATGTGTGCGTGTGGTGTGGGTTTGTTGATGTGCAACAAAAGGTCTGGGGTCAAAAATGCATGATGTTGTATCAGAAGTTGTACTTCAGCTTAGTGTACCATTTCTTCTGCATGGCTGGTGTAGGAAGATTAGCTCTTGGCATTCACCTATTGTGGCACTTCAGGACAGGCGTTGTGTATTGCAGATGATTTGTTGATAACTTATTATTTACTCTAACTGCTGAAGAGAATTGTATGGGGAGCTTGCTGTGGTTTTATGTTTGTATCGCCTTCCAGCAGCAGGCATAACTAAAAAGGCCCACGAACGTGTCAGTCCCACCTTAACTTTAGCTTCCTAGAGTAGCTCACATTTCAGCCACTGTGCTAAAAGATCATGATTGTATTAAATGACGATTGTAGCTACTACAGTGTAGTTTTCTGGTGACCAAGAGGTCCTTTCTTTGGCTCTGAGATGCAGTGAACAGTGGCAATGAAGTTAATTTTACTGCTGAAAATGTTGGTTTGGAGAACATCTAATCACTAAACCATGACATCCCCTTCCTTTCGGGAAAACATTGACAGATGATGTCAATAAATCAGCAACATATTTGTCTTCTGGGTTGATTTTGTTGGTGAAAAATAAAATCCAGCATTATTCAATATTTTCCTCTTGGTCGGGATTATATAGCGGTAAAAGCTAGAACAGGTTGTGACTGTGACATGGTGGTAATGTTTAGGTCTTGAGGTTTATAATTGACTTAATATAAAACTGTGGGGGCTTCTTACTGGTTGTCAAGAGTGCCGAGGAGTGGAACTCTTTGTTCAGCTCTCAATGATCTCTGCGTGTAGCGTACTTTCCTAATACGCCACAAGGATATTTCAAAGAAAATCTAATTATAGAATACTGTAATTATGGTTTATGATGAATCCATGAGCAGTCTAGTTGACCTTTAGTTTAATATTATTGAATGAATACTTTAGACTTTGATATTGTAATGCATGTATATACGTACTTGTATGTATGTATATATATATATATATATATATATATATATATATATATGAATACAGTCAATCTTCTATATAGGGCCTATAATTGTCACACTGCTTAGTGTTTTAGCTGGATAGATAGAGAGATAGAAATCATTTTTAGACACGGATAGATTTACATACAATATAAATACATTACGTAATACATGATGTGTTAATGTAATTAGTATTTTTTTTTTCCCCAGTTAGAGTTTTTTCGGGGGAGTTTTTTTCCTTTTCCAATGCCAAGGACAGAGGATGTCGTGTGCCGTACTGATTGTAAAGCCCTCTGAGGCAAATTTTTGATTCATGATATTTAGCTATACAAATAAATTGAACCCTCTCTCTACTCATTACTTCCACGTACTCTCTAAACAATGGTGTAAGGATCTTCTTGCAGGGCTTGTGTGACTGCATTACTGCTGCTGTCTTTTTCACCTCCCTCTTCTATTTCCTTCTTGTCACAGATCAACTAAAACTCATCCAGGACCTGTGGTCCATTTGAGTGACAGCCCAAAGGATGAAGGCAAGGTGAGTAGGCAGATAAAAGAAACACCGGTAACATCTCCTGGTCCTCCTCACAGACCAATGCCACTACAATCTACAAAAGGCTCTCTCCTTTCTCCCACGTCTCTGCCTTGAGTTAAATCATTGCCTTTCTTTCTCTGTCACGAATGTGTCTCCCAACCTCCCCTCTGCCTTTCCTGCATTAGTCACCTCGCACTCTCTCAGCATGGCTTTCTTCCTGGATAACAGAAAAAACTGATTATCTATACAGTACCCGTGTAGGTAATATTCTTTGAGGAGAGTTGAGTTTTTAGGGGTCAAGCTGCTGCTGCAGTCAATTTTTTTGGGAACAGCGGTAGGTGGAGGTTGCTGTAAGGAAGAGGTTGTTGATGTTCCCAATGCTTGTGTTTCTCATGCAGTTTTGCTTCTAACTGCAAGTGCATCACTAGAGCACGTCACGATTACACAAATACTTTTTTGCAGCAAAAAGACGTTTACCGTTTGAGTAAGAATTAAATCAAATGTATTCTTTGCATGTCAAAGTAGATCTGCAGTACATCTCGGAGTCAACAGAACTGTCGGTGTGACTAATGTAAAGCTTTGGAGTTTCCCCTACCTCACTTGCCCTCTATTTCCCATCTTATGAGTTGAGATCTCACGCAGTCTATCGTCACTGCAGGAGAGCTACACTCTCTCTTAAAGGATGTGCTCTTCCAACATCACTCCCCCTCTCCTCTGATCTGTGATCAGATTGTGTCGACTTTGCTCCACCCTCTTATCCTTTGTGTGTGTGTGCGTGGGTGTTTGTGAGGTTTTTTTTTATTGTAAGTGCATGTGGGAGTTGTGTGTTCAAGGATGCCTGTTTTCGTGTACATTGTGTTATATATGTGTGTCACTAATGTGGGTGATGAACACATGTATGGGGGTTTATAAAAGTGTTGCATGCTCTAAATGCAGTAAAGCTATATGTGTTTGAATCTCAAATGAACAAAATGACATCCCTCTGATAAATGCTTTGTAGTTTTACAAATTGATTTATTTCATTGTCAGTCTTCTCTGTACCTCCTCTGGCATCTCCTGCTACACGTTCTGCAAATTGCACATAAAAAGCAGACCCATGCAGGGGATGAAGCAAATTGTCTCCATGCTCAGTAGTACACTTGGTAGAAATGATACCTCCCCCCTCTAACCCCAAAACTCACAAGCAGGCTAGCTGTGAAACTTTGTCTTGTTAAGAAAACCAAAGACTCAAGAGGATGAAGGAGGTTTGGTACTGTTGGTGTAGACTGTGCTCATCATCTTATTTTAGCCTATGAAAAATATGTTTCATCTTCTTCCTTGTTTTCCATTCCTTGTCACTCCCCCCTCCGCAGCTGCTTATAGGGTTTGAAAGCGGGACAATTGTACAGTGGGACCTCCGGGGCAAGAAAGCCGACTTCAGAATCTACTATGACGAGGTGAGCTCCACTACGCAGTCCTGCGTTAACAAACTAAAGCAAAAATACTGTCAGGTGGGACAGGTTTTGTTTCTAAATCCATGTCACTCTGACATTGAATGGAACATTTTCCGAGGCTTTTGCATGTTTCTTGGGTCATGATAATCGTAAAAATGCTATTCTATTGCAGCAATATCTGTGGGGATTCCTTGTCAGAGCCGCAGGAAGAAGCATATATGAATGGCAAAATTGATAGTAGTGAGTAGAGAATAGGAAATTACAGCAAAAATGAGCCATGTTCATGCAGAGATGATTGGACATGTTCAACAACGTCTTATGACGCCAATGTCCTGTGGACATTTATAAAGAGCTCTTTCATGTCTGTCTTTGCCATTTTTAGGAAACTACTGTAGCCTGAGGGTCTGTAATATTGCAATAAATATCCTACGGAACACACTCTTCATGATAATAATAATACATGGGTAGATCAGTTTAAAAACAGAGGGACCTATTAGGTGCTATTACACGAATAACCATATGAATGGAATGGCCTCAAATTGGTCAAATTTACCATATATATATATATATATATATAGTATATTTCTTAGGACATTTTATCCAAAGTCGATTTGAGAATATCCATTGCATGAGCACACACAGTCAGAATCACTCTCAAACATACACATCACTCTTATGTATTCTTTTTTAACCCCTGTGGCCTCAAAACCAATTTGCCCAATAGACATTTTCACCTTGTGGCACTTATCCTCCGCATCTGCTGCCATCGCTCATCTCCTGTGAAGAGTCACGGCCTGCTCACATTCATTAATGCGGTTTCATGTCCATCTCCTCCAGCAAAGCATGGCATCTCTGCCTCAGACCTCTTCACACAAAACAACACCACAGACAAAAGGATAGAAGGACCGCAGTGGCACCACTCTAACTCATTTAGCTGTATTGAATTTGGCTTTTGTATTTTGCATCCTTTATGTTGTACACCTTTTATTTTCTTCAAAAGCACTGTGTCAAATTCACACAAATACAATATGTTAAGGAAACATTAGAGTGCAGATGCAAATTGACTGTGGGAGCCTGAGAAGTTGATGCCCTCAAAGCCTTTTAGATAACTGATGACCTCTGTGCCTTTGACATGAAGAGCTGTGGATGATGTTTTGAAGGAATAATAATAAAGAATATTAGATATGTTAATACGTAGAAGGTATGTTCAGATGGGAATTATGGAAAGACTTAAATTAGTATGGTGTTTTGTTTGTTTTTGTAGATTTTGTGCTTATTTTTCAATTAAAAGTGTATTTCTTTGGTTGGTTTAGAGCTACGCAGTTTGACTGTAAACTTTTGTTCCTCTATCATTTCACAAAAAATTGTCCACTGACTGACACAAACACAGATCACAAGGTAAAAAAAATAGTTTCAGATACCATATACTGCATGTATCAATATATGATATCTGAATCTAATCTAACATTTTTGACATATAGAGTAGGAGATATTGGTTAAAATCCATTCCCTCTGTCTCATTGGTACAGGCCATCCATTCAGTCGGCTGGCATCATGAAGGGAAGCAGTTCATGTGCAGTCACTCAGACGGCAGCCTGTCCATGTGGAACCTCAGAAACACCACCAGGCCGTTCCAGGTCACCTTCCCTCATGGTGAGACACAGATCCACACTTTGTTGTTATTTTTTTTTCAATTACTAAGCAAAATGAAGCTTTGATAATTAGCTATGCTGTAATACAGCAGACAGAATTTAAACACACATACATACACATACATTGAGTGCTAAGTTTATCAGAAAAGTTGAGGTAACTTCATAAAGGTAATAGTTCACCTGTGTTCTAATGTGGCAGATGCACAAGTTTGTTTTTTCGTGAGTGTAACCAGCCACCGACTATTTATTATTCAAACCGAGCTCGTTGCCAAGTGTCTGCACATTTAGAATGCCTGACAAAGCACATCTGAAAATGACAGTCATTGTGATGCGTGATTTTTGTCATCGCCACTTTTGCTTATTTGGCTGTCAGGTTTGAATACTTCAAAACTGGTTTTAGTGAATGACTCTGAATCCATGCCACATGTAATTCTCTGTGCTCTTCCTCTGACTAGTCCTCGTTATGTCATCCTCTGGAGAAGTTTGTGCTCTGGCAGGGCATCCTGGCCTTGTCACATCTATGGTGATGAATAGTCCCTTGTTGTGGGCTGTGATCTCAGGCAAAATCACAAAGCAGGAGGGCAGGAGGGAAGGACGTGGGTGATGAATGATCGGTGAACGGGCCTGAAGACGTGGTTAAATGCCACCAGATTGTTTATGTGCCAGATATTCGGTATTACACAAGGCAAGAGTGAAGGGAAAGGGAAGGAACAGGACAGAGGGAGCTGAAAATGACTAGAAGTAAACTAAGTGTATGAAAAAGAAGAAGAGTAAACAGTAAACATGTCATCTCCTGAGAATGGCTCAGTCTCCTTCCGCTCTAGTTGTAAATAAATAAACTTATTCTGTTCCAAGACAGATAAATGAAGTGATTCTGGCGCTGTAAGCCAATCATCACACCATCACATCTGTGGTGATTTGCCATCCTATTTAAATGCCCGAGTGTTCACAATCACTGTGTATCGTTGCGTTTGCTTTGATTTCTGGATGCTTCTGTCACTAAACCCTGAAACATTTTGTGTTTCTTTATACAGCTGTTGGTTTGTTTGACCAGAGCTCTTTGGCTGCCTGATAGTTTATGCATGATAAGCAGTGCGTAATTTTAAAACCACCTGAAATCACATTTACATAAAGTATATGTAGGAAATGCAATGCCGCTCATATTCTATTACATATAAGCTTTTGATTGCAAACTTCAAATATTTACTCTTTATATGTCTGCAGAACTGCGTCTACATGGCATGTCTTCAATCGGAAAGGATGTTGACTTTGGCAAAACTACGACATTAAAGTTTATTTTTCATTAAACAGAGAGCCAAAATGTCTGCTTTTAGTGAAACATAACTTGAGAAATAAAAGATAAGTTGAAGATGTAGCTGCAGTACATATGTAGATGATAGATGCAGCACAGGTGCATGTCACTAGACTTATTAAAGACATGCTTTTTATTTGTTTAATTATATTATAGATCATCTAGTTGCTCGATGATGTATATTTTTTATTCCTTTGTGTAAGTCTGACAGTTTATAAATTCTATTTCTGTCATGTTTTCTACATTATTTTTTAGAAAGGCTTTTGTTCAGAGCACTATGCCCATGAGGTAAAGCCCACGGTCTCACTGCCTTCTAGCAGAGAGACGTCCTCTTTATATCAAAGGCATAATCATGATTGCGTTTTGTGAAGCAAAAGAAAAATAACTCTCTGTAATGCGCTCTGATAACGGTCTGCCGTTCCCCGAAAAGAAACATTGGAAACACAGTACGCAGTAATCAGAAAGTGAAGTAGGAACAAAAGAGCTTTTTTCACTTTCAAAGTAAAGTTCTTTTAATAGAACTGTGCTATGTTCAGTTTAATAAAGATACGTATTAGTCACTATTACTACTTACACTATATTTAAATCTGTGGAGGAAAAGGGTTGTAAGTGTTGCGTTCGTCCATTGAATAAAGCAGCTATGGAGGAAGTTATGCTCAGTAAAATGATTGCATGAAAGGGGAAAATAGATTAACAAAACATACAATTGTATGCTAATAAAAACTAAATTTTTACTGACCAGCTGTAGAGCCCTACTGTTCTGGGCTGTGCACACGTTAAAAAGAACTGGGCACAGTCATTTTGCCTTCTTAAGTTTCTTTAAGAAATACATCTTGTTTATGAGGTTTTTTTAACCAGGATGGAGATGTATGATGAACACATCCGGTTGTTTGTGATTCAAATTAAAATTGTTCACTTGTTCCACCTCAGCTTCTGGTGTAGACAGGGGTGTGTGTCTGCAATCAACAATCAGCTCCTTGATTTTACTGACGTTGAGCAGCAAGTTGATCTTTGAGCACAACTCTGCAAGATTGTTGATTTCCTCTCTATATAAAGTCCGTTGTTTTGAATCCGGCCGATGACGGTATAGCGTCCTCTGCAAACTTCGTAACAGAGCTCTCTTCATGTTTGGGGTAGCTGTCGTGGGTGTGCGGAGTGAGCAGGAGGGGGCTGAGCACACAGCCCTGGGGGGCTCCGGTGTTCAACACTAACGTAGGAGTTGTAGCTGCCAATTCGACTCCCTGGGGTCTGTTTGTCTAATAACCAGTTGCAGAGTGAGGTACTCGAGCCGATGCTAAGTTTATCAGTTTCATGATGGAGATTGTGTTGAGTGCAGAGCTGAAATCAACAAACAACATTCTAATGTATTCAGTAAATGTGGTGCTGTATTGAAATTGAAATGTTATTCATTATTTTGCTATTTCCTATAATTAAGGAAAGATACAGAAGGATGGGAAAAAGGAGTCATGTAAACCTATACTCAAAGTGGAGTACAAGACCTCGAGGAACAGGTGTGTGCTCTTTAAGTAACTATTTAGATCCAGATTGCCTGATTACCTGATTACACAAAATTATGATTTGAATACAACCACAGGGAGATTTATCCTATGATGTAATGAACCCCACTTTGTGATAATCAAAAGCCACTAACACAAGTTGGCAAAAAATGACTATATTAATGTAGTAAGGGGAGTTACATATTTTAATTGTAATAAATGATACAGTTTGAAAGCATTGTGATATAAATTGAAGAAATGACAAACAATATATTTGATTTATACACACATATTGATTGCATTCACTCTTTTCGTCACACATTTATCATATTTGTTGAGTGGTTTATAGTAAGTGGCTTATAAATAAGATTGTAAACCACATGTATTGTATCATGCATGTACATCTATCAAATGGTTTCACTGTTTGATTCATTGATTTGTTAATGTATTACTCTTCTCTCTCCACAACAGCGAGCCTTTTGTTATCTTCTCTGGGGGTCTTTCATATGACAAGGCAGGGCGGCGGCCTACGTTAACCATAATGCACGGCAAGGCCATCACTGTGCTGGAGATGGACTATCCTATTGTGGAGTTCATGGCACTCTGCGAGACTCCATACAACAACGGTAAGTGCATACACCGACAATGACAAAATCAATTTCACATATTTTCTTCATTCAGCGAAATGTTTTTTATGAATTATTTTGAATGAATCAATACACAAACTAAAGCGACAAAAAAGTCGAAGAAAGATGAGATTTCAACAATGCAAAACTCTAAAACACATTATTTTGTATGTGTTGTTGTAACTAATGTAAATGTAGATTAAGCGTTATCCTCTTCAGTTTGACTTTGTATCTCACAGAGGTCCAGGAGCCTTACGCAGTGGTGGTGCTTTTGGAGAAGGACTTAATCGTGGTGGATCTGACACAGAGCAAGTATGTTTTACACAGCTTAGTCACAGCTAAGCTGCGTGTGACTGAGAGAGTCCCATCATCACATGACAACTTTTGATGTTCGATGATACCACCTGACATCACATCAGGGTAACACACTTCTTTGCATATACCTTTAATCCATAAACCAAATCCAGTTACAGTCAATCTACACTTCAGGGAGAATCTTTGAAGAAAGATTGCTCTCAAGGTGAAAATGCTACTACTCCAGTTAGATTAACTATTGGAAGATATGAAAGTGAAGGTGTAAGGTGCTGATGTGGTGCAGTTGTGACAGATTAACTATTAAGGCCAGGGATACAACTGAATAGCAGCAAAACACATAAATTAGACCTATGGTGTGAGTCGGAGGATTTAAATAAGGTTGCCTTAATTAGGCTAATTGAAGCTGTTAGATATAAACATCTCATGGTGGCTTAATGATTTTTTTTAACTTGTCAACATAAATAAGTCAGTACACAGATACACAGTGTGTACCTTCATACTCATATTCATCAAGTTTACTGATCAAGGAATAATTAGCATTTATTATGTAATTAATGTATTTGGTACAGTAGCACACCTTTAAATCTTTCAGCCATATTTGTATGCAGGCACATAGCGGTGCTATACCTATGTTTACCTCTTTTTCTGATTTCATTGAATGAACAGACAAGGCAATGCACATGTAAACGGATCAATTATCTCCTTGTTGTTACTTCAACTTCCCTTTTTGCCCATTTTGACAAAGTGACATGAGCTATGCTATACCATATCATATGCACGTATCTTGCAGCTTCCCTGTCTTTGAGAATCCTTACCCCATGGACATCCATGAGTCTCCAGTTACCTGCACAGCCTATTTTGCCGACTGTCCGCCCAACATTATCCCCATCCTCTACTCGATAGGAGCTAAACACAAGAAGACTGGCTACAGCCAAAAGGTAGGAGGGGGAAAATATGAGCTTGCTGTACACGTCTCTTTTTTTTCATTTCATTCTTGTTTGGTAATTAATTCTAATTGATGTGTGTTGAAAGACACTGTGAAAAAGTTAGAAAGTGCTTGTATAATGGTGTACCTCCGCACACCACTGATTCGGTCTCTCAAGGTTACTGCAATGTGAATAATCTTCACAATTTATGTAAAAGAAATCAGCCTGACTAAATAATTGCTGCTATGAACTTGAAGCAAATTATGGGTTATCATCAGCATACGAGTCATTTTAATCAGAACAGATTTGTATTTGAAAATGAAAACATGTAATGTTGGACACTGAAAGCAAAAATCCCGAACATGATTATTCTGTGTTTTCGAATATAAGGAAATCTTATGAACAGGGTCCAGTGGGAGAAAAGCAATAGATGATGTGATAGAGTTGTTAAATGAATCAACACTCTGTCTGTAACCATGCCAGGAGTGGCCAGTCGCCGGAGGATTGTGGACGTTAGGCTCCCACACCTACCCGGAGATCATCGTCACAGGGTATGTCAGCGATATTAACAGCTATATTTTGTCGATACAGAAAGTCCTTATAGGTCCAAACACATGGCGACCATTAGCCCAAGCTGCTGTGAGAGAGAGATACCGTAACACCTATCACAATTAAAAGGGAAACTACAGTATATGTGTCACTGACATCATGACAGGATCAGCTCAGCACAGCACGGGGCCTTCCTGATGTTAATCGGTTCTGAAGCATGTGAACTGGGTTTTATCGGCTTCTAGGCAACACTGGAATCCGGGACAGTCTAACATTTAAAATCAGTAATCATCATACACTGCCCAAGATCGAAGATAGCTATTACAGTACATTTATTACAGTTGTGAATTTGTGGCGTTAAAGCATGGAGTAAGGTTAATCGCCCTATATTTTTCCTTCATTCTGATCCCTTCTCGGAGTCAAAAAACACACCAATTTTGCCCGATGGACAAACAACTATTCCTTCTCTTTGTTCAGACATGCTGACGGATCAATTAAGTTTTGGGACGCATCTGCAAGTAAGTCTAATCTCTAAGCTTTTCTGTCTTTTTGAGCTATAATGAAATGATACATTTTGTTCAACTCAGGCTTTTGTTACACAGCTTGCTCAAATTAATAATGTTTTTTTCATGAATCCCATGGTGAGTAATTTCAGGTTTGCTCAATATACTACCTCTCTTTTTTTTTTTTTTTTGAACGGATACAAAAAGCGTCGACATTCAACGTATTAGTGGTGTCCAGAAATGTACAGTGTCAACATTTGTTCCAGGCGACTGGGCTGTTGCATCACACGTCATAGGCTCCACTTCCTTGCTATACATTGAGTTCTTAGTGATACCTGATTATTCCAGCACAACCGACCCCTAGAGTTCAATCTAGCTATACCAGCCTAAAGCTACTGTATTATGGCATGCTGGTTAGCTAGTATTCTAACCTTTACAGACACATTAAACCATATTTGTATTTGTCCTCCTGTCAAAAAACACAAGAGGTTATCTTCTTGCACCACGCAGCTTTCTTAACGTTTTGTCATTCTTCCTAATATATAATTTTTTTTCTTCTCCTCCTTTAATCAACAAAACAAAGTTAAGAATAGTTTCACTAAACTTAACCATTTCTCTAACCAGTCACACTACAGATGTTGTACAAGCTGAAGACCTCCAAAGCCTTTGAGAAGCCAAAGCCTGCTGAGGGCAGGGCGGCCGAGTTGGTGGAGGAGGACCCCTTTGCTATTCAAATGGTCAGCTGGTGCCCCCAGAGTCGCATCTTCTGTGTGGTTGGCATCTCAGCCCACATCATCCTGTACCGCTTCAGCAAATATGATGCCAACACTCAGATAGTGGTGAGTGAGAATCAAGGGGAAGGGAGTTACATCCTGGTGCGTTATAAGGAGTGTAAGTAAGGTTAAATGTAATTCTTACAAACTCCTTTTCTGAAATCTTAAATGTCTTTGAGAAATATGCTAAAAACTGAGCCTTGGTTGTTGTTTTTTTGTGGAGATCTTCTAATATAAATTCTGCTAATGCCTTTCCAACAATGTCGGGAACCTGCATCTACAAAACACCAATTCAGTTGATGTATTTCACTGTAATAGTAACATTGTTACAGGATTAAATATAGTTTTTTTTCTGGTGTCTGTGTCATCTTCAGTCACTAGAGGTGCGCCTACAATATGAGGCGGAGGATGTCATCTCTCCGTCTGAGAATGAAAACAATCCCTGCTTCTCGGAGTCCGGCTCCCAATCACCTCAAACCCACCACCAACACCCGGCTAGCCCCGGCACGCCTGAGGGTAACAAAGACAGCACCCCCTGCATTAAGTAAGATCACCTCACACACATCACAATATCTCTGCAACAAATATCTCTTTGAACAAATCATTTGGTCTTGCAGTGTGCCAGAAATTGATAGATTGATAGATGACAGAAGCAAACATGTCTTTTTTCTTTCCCACTAAATGCTGTATGTATATTACAGAGGACTATTCTTCATGTGTTTCTCAGGGTGAAGGACCGGATGGTTCGGGTCCCTCCTGGCTACCAGGCAGAGCTGGTCATCCAGCTGCTGTGGGTAGATGGAGAACCTCCACAACAGATCACCAGCCTGGACATCAACTCTGCCTATGGCCTGTAAGTCTCCAGATGCATGGCAGTCTCTCTGTCTGTGTGTCCATCTGTGTGACTTTTCGTCGGTCTAGATTAGGAATATGGGCAAGGCATTTCTTTCATTATTGGTGCTGATCGGTTCCAAATCTTTGCTAATCTGCATTTAGGACAGCAATCCCAGCAAAATCGTTTGGAGAAGTTTGCCCAAAATGATTACGGACTAAGCCTCTGAAATCTTTATTAATTACTGTGTTGGTGCAACTGTATGGTAATGGCGCTGTCATAACAGCTTAATTGGACGTAAAGCAGATAGTAGAAACATCACAAAGATTACAACTGAGAGACCAAGAATGATTTTTTAATTGTTAACTGTAAATTACTGGTTTACACAATAGCCCTAAGCTAGCAACCTTTTATTAGAGTTGTAACAGGGGAATTGCATGTTGTTGGTTCCAAACGGCAACCTCCAAAAATCCTCTAACACACTGACTCTAAGACAGCACACAGCATGCATGTATGTATGCATAGTTCTGTTCACATTTTAATTTCAAGATAGTATACTGGACCCCTGAGCCCGTACCAAGCTACAAGTGGGCAGAAGCATTTCTGTCACTTCTATCTGTTCTCTTTAAGATATAGCATATAATTCTAATACTTTGTAAAGTGCCTGATGTTGACCTTGGTAAATGTTTTTTAACTATATTTCAGTGTTGAAGAGGAATTAATTGACTTCCTGAGCCCAGAGTGCTTACAAATTTTGTATGGTTTTGTTGTGAATAGAAGTTTTGCTGCCGGAAACCAATAAAATCACAGCTCTTTTAAAGAATATCTATTTGGGTCAAGGCAGTGCCATCATTTGCCTCTCTCCTGTAAAGCTATTCACAGCTTGAATAGAATTGCCGAAATTGATTTTTTGTTTCATTCTTTTTTACTCTTTCGCTCAAAACTTCTTCTGAAAAACACAGCTACACACACACACACACACACACACACACACACACACACACACACTGACTTTTAGATTTCTGTTTCTTTTAGCATGAATATTACATGAACATTACACGAAGGCTCCACCAGAAGAGTATGAACAGCAATAAATCACTGCCACATTGATGTCTTTACTTTACATTACTAAAGGCACCACAAAGGCACATGTCTGTCTCATTTGGTCACCTTCATGTCACAGATGTGTATGCCAAAGGATGGGTTCACTGTTGTTTAGTTTAAAATATTCTGCATCGTTTATAAATGTGCATAGTGCAGGCTGAGACCTCACTGACGCTTAAGTTTCAAGAATCGAATTAATAATGTTGAAGCGTCTCACTGGAGTTAGCCTTCTCTTGGCTAAATGTACGTCAAATTATTCAAAGTATATACAACAACAGTGAGGGGAGTAACGCTATTTGCATTTGGCTGACTGAATTCCTTTTGGACATTATGAAATTGTGAGTATTGGTAGATTGTAACGATAACACAGATGACTGTATTCTTTACCTCCATTTTTCTTCAGCTGTTGAGCCTTTAGCTTTGATCTTGTCGTGGAGCCCCGTGTTTTATTTTGCTGTTTAACGCTCAAGCTGTGTTTAAGTGTCGCTTGTTCTAAAAGGCTGGATAAGTGTGGGGTTTTTTGACCACTGCCGCCTTTGCACTTAGTGGTTTTCTAGTGTGTTCTGAGTGATGGGTTTTGAAGTGTGTAACCATGTTAATGGTATTGACATTGTTGTTTACATGACACACAGCCCTTCCGAACACTCGGTTAAAATGCTGTAAATCAGAGACAACACTGCTGCTGTCACAGCCCCAAACCATCAGACCATGTGACAGTAATGTAAAGTGAACCAGACATCTGCATAGTGGATACAGGAGAGCAATAATTGACTGGGCAGCAACAAGCTTGAGTGACATTTATGTGTTTGCTTCACTTATTTTTGCATTTTTTTTTTCCTGAAAAAACACCTATAGAACCATTTGTCTGTGTACATCGTCTAATTCTGGTCAGTGCCTGATCAACTGGAACATAATTTGTTCAAAAAGAAACTGAAAAATGACTGCCAACGAGCTCCACTTGTTTTAGAGCAGCAGGTGGCAATGGAGCTTATGGGAAAGCTGGTATTACTATTCAAAAACAGCAACAATAGCAGTGTGAGGTAAAGACAGCTTTTGTTGACAGTCATTACACTAAAATGTCAAGTTAATTTGACGGTGTTTGATAGTGCTACATTTAGCACCTGTAATGTCAGGGAGAATAACCTGGTGAAATAAATCTGCCAACAGTGTAAATGTCTCAGCTGAATAACACTCTTTCTCCCCCATGTAAATGCAAATGTCTGTGTGTGTGTGTGTCTGTGCATGTGCACGTGCGTCCTTTGCCGTGTTCGTGTGTGTCCAGTTTGGCGTTTGGGAACTGTAATGGCCTAGCAGTGGTGGACTACTTGCAGAAAACCATCCTGTTGTGTATGTCAACACTGGATGTGTATGGAGCTGCCGATCCGTACCAACGCCTTACCCGCTCCCCCCGCAGGAACAGACAGTCCACCTCAGGTAGCACACACACACACACACACACACACACACACACACACACCTCTGGGATCTTGCCCACACACACATGCACGAATACAACCAACACTCATGTTGCAGTCACACAATAACGTGACATTCAGACTATCATCTATTTTCTACTCACCTGTCCTTCCTCTATCTCTACTGGTGTTCCTTCTTCCTCTTTCTAAGGTTAGACTGATCTATCAGGGAAATGTGATCCATCTTAATCTGAAATCAATGATGCAGGTGGTTTGATTATATTAACTGTATATCTAATCAATACCACTTTCAAGCTCTTAACCTGATCAATATAATTTAATTAGGGGTTGAGGGCTTCCCCGACACATTAAACATTTTGACCAGATTCCACACAAGGATGAAATCTTATTAAGGATCATTGAGTATTATAATTCCTATAGTTGAAATACATTATGTTTCTAAAAATGTGTTGTAATGCATTCTAATGACAACACATACAACTTAAACATTTTTTTACTTTTTTAAGAATAATAATGTTCTAGTAATATTATAACTCTGACAGGGGCACACGCGGCTACTTTAACTTTAGATACTTTTTTCTGATAATACAGTTCTTACCAACTGTTTCCTAATTCAAATTTCGCATGCAGGACATTTACTTGCAGTGAAGCATTGTGTGGTATTGCTAGTTATACATCTCTCACCAAACATATGTAACTATTAGGAGAAAGTTGACATGAAAAGGGTCAAATTGCCTATTTGTACAAAATATAGCCCATCAACAAGTACAATCCCAAAACACGAGTACGGTATCTGTATCAGCGCTCAAAAACCTGTATCAGTCCAACCTTAGTTCTTCTCTCTCTTTGCTCTTTTTCTCTCACACATAACATACAAAGACAAAAAAACACCTGTCCATCTCAGTCTGCCTGTCACAGATCTGCACTATGATATGAAGTGCATGTTATCAGGCTGCGTGTCATTCCACGTTGGCATTACTATGCATGTTGTCATTTGATTTCTCTGTCCTTTCTGTTTTTAGTCCTGCTTGAGCACAGATCTGTATTCAAAAGCCACAGAGGTCTCGCTGTACTTCCTGACCCCTGCCTCCCTTTTCTCTGCTACTGATCTTGGCTGGTGATGGTCTCTAAAGGCTCTTATTTATACTTTAATGTGAAGATATCCAGCCCCATCGCACAGAAAGTATTTACTAATGCACAAGCTGCACCTCTCTTGTTTGACACGACAGTAACCTCTAGATTTCAGGGCATAGCAGCTCCAGTGGTTAATATTTTAGACGTCTATCGTCCTTTAGCAACCTAAAGTACTGAGCTCTCTTATTACATAATGCCCCCAAGTTTAGCTGAGAATGTTTTACAGGTATTCAGGTTTTGTGTAACTGGAGGAATGACTTTGGCTTTAGAACAATTTTTTTTTTCATTTGCTGATGCATAAGTGCTTTTATTGACTACCACAGCACTTATAGTCCCCAACTTCCTCCTTTTGTAAAAGTCTCTCTGTGTTGGGTCTTCAAAATCAATTTGGAGATGGAAGGAAAAAATACCAACGGCAACTGTGCCCTTTTGCTGTACCCCAGGTGGTGGTGTTATGATCTTGAGCACTTGCTATGCTGGAGTTGATATAATACTGAAGACAAAAATATTGCCAAAAGGCCAAGCGAAATACATGGCACTTGCTCAACTATCTTTAAGCTGCTGGCCTCTTCTCTTTTTGTACTATTCCAACTTTTTAGAACAACGTTTTCTGTCCCTCCTACAACATTTTTAGCTGTCGTCGTCACACATATGTGGATACTATATATATGTCAATCAAATTTAGTGTATTCATTTCATTAAATGATTTGTTGGTGTGTTTCTCCAGTCGTAGTGTGATGCATTATTGAAACCATGTTAGGACAGACGGTCTATGACAAAGTATATAAGCTAAATGCAATCTAAAGCAATTATTTGATACAAGAGATATATTTTGATGCTGTTTTGTAAGTCTTGATATGTTGCCTGCTAGCTCAGTAGTTTAGTTATTGTGCAAATGATCGGTCACTTCAGCGTTGCTGGGGTTTGCAGCAGTAGCGGGTATATCTTGTCTGTCCTCCCCTGACACTAATTCGAATGCTGCTTGCTCTCACTTTCTTTTCCTTTCTAAGCCTGTGTGTTCTTCTCTCTCCCCCTTCCCTCCTTTTTCCTCCCCTCCCTTCCCACCGTCCTACCATTTCTTCACTCCATCTAACCTTCTTTTCTTAATTTACGGTCACATTCTTTCCTTACTCTTCAACTTGTTTCCTCCTCTCCTTTTCCTCTGTCCCACCCAACTCATACACATCTTCCTCTTTCCAAACCTGAATGTCCTCTCTCATCTCTACCTACACTTCTCACTCTTTATTCCTGCCCACCATCCTCTCCACTACTCCTTCCTTCCCTCTCCTCCTCCTACCTTTTCGGTGACTCTGTGGTTGCTGGTGTGGGCATGTGGGCCTGCCTGACAGAGTTTTGCATGCGCGGCCTGTCTAACTTTTATTCAGATTCAAAGAAAAGGATCCGTACATCCTATCAGAGTAAGTCGGGCCTTCATAAAGGCTGGGGGACTCTGTGTTTGTGTGCGGCGGGTGGGTGGTGGGGGTGGCGGGTGTTGGGAAGGTATGACGTGGACTGAAAGCAGAGGGACAAACCAAAGAGATGATTGGAATGAAAGAGGTTGTTTCATATCTATATTTTACCATATAAAACAGAACTCTTTTCCAGTCACGTCCAATGGTATGTCCTTTACAGAGAGCCACTCCTTTGAGTCTGTCAAGTAAGGGCAGTTATACATTTTATATGATCCATGTGATGTATATTTTAGCTGAAGCATAACGCGGTGAATAAAATCTTGTTATCCACTAAAATATGTGCTTTTGGTTGAGGAATTCTTAATTTTACACTACAACTAAAGGTTTAATGAGACTCCCTTTTCACAGTGTCTTCAATTATTTGTAAAACCAGTGTAACTGATTGAAGGAAATTTGCATTAAGAAGTTTTGCCGCAAACCTTTACTGAAGATAAATAATGGAATTAATTAAAATGTTTTGAACTGTGACGACTCAGTGAGGCTGTTAATGAAGCACTAATGAATGTGGCTTAAGCCCCTTACATTTGTAGTCAGACTAAAAGGAGCAAGAATTAGAAATTTCAACATTTGTGGTGGTTTCTAAAAAGGAAGTATACGTATAACTTCTGATTCTGGCCTGTGCTTGGTGCATGTGATCAGATTTGATCAGATCCTGATCAAATTTGTATTTGTTCTGTTTTGTGTTTTGATTGTATATGCCACTTTATCATGAGATCTGCACTACTCACGGTAGATGATAATTATTTTCATGTTTACATTTTAATGCAATCCGGTTGGAAATTCAAAAGTTTATATTGGCTACATTGAACAGATTGTAGTGCAGGTCACATCAGATTTCAGCCACTCTGCTCCTGGAAGACAAACAAAATGAATCCTAAGAAACAGAGGAAAGGTAAATAGCAAATGTCAAATATTAGTAAATCCCCAATTTATTAAATCCCCATAAAATTCTTCACAAATGATAATTTATTACTGCAAATTGTGTCTGTAGTTTATCAGAGATGGTAGACCAAGAAGATTGAATAATTGCACTTAAAGGTCTTTCCTGGGGCTCTGCGTGGCTGACATCAACCAAGCTGACTGTTGTTAAATCCGTACAATTGACACGGTTAGAATAATCTCACAGATTGTCTGTATTCTACTTTTTCTACCTCTCGGCTGCCATTGGCTGCGGCAGGCCTTACCGAACTCTCTGACAACCAGCAGTCCATCGACATGGAGAGAAGCAAGTCGCCCACCTCAGGTAACCTGCTGACACACACTGCTGAGTCCACCCTCCCTGTATGGAAATGTGTTTGGTGAATGGCACTGTGAAGCTTTGCTGGGATGCCAATGTCTTTTAATGTGAGCTATACTTACAGTATGCAGCCTGTGGACACCTCACCCATCACCAGAGCATCCTCACCTGATGAGAATGGCAGCTGTTCTAAATGGCAGCTCGTGTTTGTGGTTGTAGAGTGGAGGACGCATTACATTCAAAGTTTTGCAAAAGTGCAAGACGTGCTGAAAATCCCTCCAGTGGAAAGTTGTTGGTGAGAGAATGTAATGCATTTGTCAGACAGTTTGATTGTAGTATACTGTGGCCTATCTGATGCATTTTGTCACAGCTTCCCGTTGGTTTCCCTTTATTCCTTTATTGTTGTTCAGTGATTTCACAAAGGTAAGCCAGAGAAAAGACAAGGTTTTTCATTTGCTCTACCTCTTTCTTTATGCCTCTTTGACTTTCTCGCTTGTTCAGCTCTTCTTCTTCTAATACATCTGTCACTGTTGTGAAGGACATGGCAAAGCATAAAGTAGCCTGCAGCTCATGTTTGGAGAGATGGAGAGTAAAAGATAAAGAAAGCAAGCATGGGAAGTGCTAAAGAGTGCAGGCCTGGCAAACAGAAGGCAGCAGTGATGATGACCTGCAGTTTATAACATGTGGCAGTAGCCAGATCAGAACAGTTCTCACATCTGGTTAAATTATTTATTTGTATCATCCATAATGTATTATAGAAACCTCCTGAGCACTGCATTTGCTGGCATGTTAGTGTGTAGCAGTATTTGACTTGCATTAAATGCTAATGAATGTATAATGAAAGAGACATGCCTCTTTAGATGGGAATTGTGTTATGAACATGTAATCAATATTTGTAGTTAATGTTATTTTAATTATTCTGTTGCCTTCGTTAGGTTTCAGGATCACAGTTTGGATGCAATAGATAAGGTTTTAAACTGTGAGATTGTTTAAAGTATGTTGAGGTTTGTGTGTCTGGAGATGGGGCAGATTAAAAAAGTGCGTTTGTGATTGCAAAGAAACAAAAATGCATAATTGAGGGAAATAGAGATGAGAACATTTCCTAGGAGGGACTTCGAATTCAGAACTTAAAAGTCAAAAGGAGAAAGTGTGTAAATCTGTGCTGGAGACACTGCCGAGCAGACATGCTGTGTGCTCTCGGCTCGTTGTGCTTATAAGGCTTTAGTTCCCAAATGATTATGGCGAAACCAACTAAATGTATTGGTGATGTTTCTTATATGCAACATATAAGAAATTTACTAAGTACTAGCTGATTTATAGAAAACAACTTCCGCAGTGTTCTCTCGACATAAAACCTGCAAAATGTATGAGAAGAACCTTTCAATATCAGCACCAACACATGCCTGAGCCATAGTTCTGTCACACTCTGTGACATCCCTTTCTACTGTTTGCCTTGAAGGCAACATTTGTGCTTTGTAGATGGTTTTCAAGGAAAAAGAAGAACAATTTAACAATATTTTTTTGGACCTCCAGAAATAGCACTCCATCTGTGAAACCTGCCAACAGAGAAAGAATAATTTAAAACTTGGAAACTCTTTGCAATTATGCAATCCACGTTCTGGGAAAATATAACCCCAAGGGGGAAGTGGAGGATGTTTGGGATTTCAACACAATATGCCTTTGAACGAAGCAGAGATACACTGATACTGTGTTTTTCTCTTAAACAAGAATGGACCACGGCTGATCTTTGTGTAATAAGACATCATTAGCCAGTAATGAATTCCTACATTTATCCTGAGGAGTATGTGGATGTGAATCTGATGTGTATTACAGAGAATAAAAGCTTTGCAGATTTTTGCCAACACTAAGGCATTTCATATGCTTCTGAAAAAGTGATTTGACAGGTTTCGGGCCATCAAGGGCACTGCTTCTATTTTACCACTTCTCACCCGGCAATGCACCAGAGCTTTACCCCTGTCCTTACAATAGGTGAGCTCACTCAGACTGTGCCTACATGGGCCTCATTGGTCCAAGCCTTCGAATGACTTATAGTCTAGCCCTTTAAGAGAATGTCCAAGGGAAATCCTCCCAGAGCCACAGGGGCTAATGCTTTACAGGCCATAGGGGGCGGGGGTGTGTGAGATCCGGGAGGACCCCTCACTGTAGAGCTGTTCTGGGCATGTGCAACTGAGTGGAGACCCTGGGGCAGACGTTGAATACACTGGAGGGATTATGTATATTCCTTGTGACCTGGGAACGCCTCAGGTTGACCCAGGAAGACCTGAAAGATGTGGCTGGAATAGTAAGTGAAGTACGCCTAGCTACAACGCCGCTACACAACCCATACCCAGATAAACAGCTGAATATATATGGATATATGGACCTAGATATAGATTGCACCAACCTTTGTTTGGTGTGATGTAAACACAGAAGCTGGTTGCGTTGCAGAAAATCAGTCAACAGCAGCCTGGTTTATTGAACTAATGGTTTACCACATTTGAAAATTAGGACAAAATTTGTACGAGCTGAAAAATCTTCATCATTTTCCAATTGATGCTTATTTGCAGGCATAGGACATATTTAGGCATTTGCATTATATTCGCAGGAGGCTGAATAATGTGACTCAATAACAGTGACTCAGAAATCACTCCTTCAGATCATGCGATTTTTGCCTTTCAAAACCTTCAGCAGATTTGTGATGGAGGACTGGGCTATAAGCAAGTGAGCAGTGTTGTTATATTTCAACCTTAAAGGCATATTTCATCATCAAGCCAAATGAATAGCAAAGCAGAGATATGTTACCCTTTCCCTTCCTCCAGTTTTTTACTGGCAGTGATATCAGGATATACAGATACACTGGACTTGAATTGACTAGATATTTATGCTAAAGACGTGTCCATGTTGCAAGTCCTCATTACAGCCCCAAAGACACTTATTAAACCTCTATATTTGAGTATCTTTTACACACAGTATACATTTTAATTCACTACATATTATGTTGTTTAATGTTTGCCGTTAAAGTATTTTTTATTAATTAACTGCACCTCCATGGTTTGCTCTATTAGTATTGTCCAGGATACAGAATTGGTTGTGTCACCCTTGAGCTTGTCTTTTTAAGAGCTGTCGTTTGTGTTTGTGCTTGTTCTGTGAGCCTCCTAAGGAGAGCAAAAGAACAGAATAACAAAACCAGGACAAGATGTTCTTTGCCGTCTTGGCAGAGAGTCTTGCAGCATTATGATGTGGACTACGTCGTGGTCATTCTGTCCCATTACAGGCCTGTCATTCGCTAATTAGAGAGATGGAAGAATTATGGATGAAAAGCATCGGGACAGACACAGCATGACACAGTATGATCGAGTGCCTGATGCACTTACCCAGAGAAGGGGAAAAAGGCAGATGAGCTGTTCTATTTGGCTGAGTACAGTTTCAGAATAATCTGCAATCAAGATGGAAATGTTAACAATGTTTAACACGCCACACCACACTTCTCCTTCTACTCTCCCTTCCTCTGAGACCTACCTTGAATTTTTCAACAGAAAAAAAAAAATCTTCAATATTAATGCAAGTGTTACGGAGTACATTTAAACTAGTTATGGCTGGAGACAAATGAGGAACCATGAACTCTTTGCCTATTAAGCAGAGCACAGCTTGATAGGCAAAGAGTTCATGGTTTGTTTCCTCCTGCTGAATATCAGCCTCTCTCCGGCCATTAGGGGCTGTCTGGCCGTTCCTTGCACAACTAGTGTGCTGTGTCTTTTCAAGGCCATATACAGACTGTGGGCAGCTTATTAAGGAAGCCAGCCATCGTCCTAATTCACCTCGTGTGTCAATAACTGCAGGCGTCTCTCTCTCCTCTCCTTCACACATCGTTCCCTCTCTTTTACCTGACCCCTTTCCTGTCTTCCTTTTGTAATTAGGCACAATAATTGGCCCCTCTCCTGCCTGAAGGCTGTCTCCCTCCACATCCTTCCCATTGTCTTCTTTCTTGTTATGTCCTGAGGTGTGTTGTTTTTGGTTTGGGGTTATGCGTTACATTTCCTTTGGGAGCGTTATGCCATGTGTGGCTGTAGCAAAGTTTACCTGACCAGGCCCAGTTGTAAGACGGACTAACAAGCTGAGAGGCCATGATGACAGTGATCGGTGCCTGACCCGGCATGGTATTTTTAGCGGTGAGCATGACAGAGGAGAAAGGGAGTAGGTGATGTCTAAAACGTTACGGTGTGTCAAACTGGTGCCACCAGCTCAGCTTCATGCAACTCAAGGTGGCTTCATAACATTTTGAAATAAGTCTACCAACTGTTTTTTTTAACTAAACCCTGCTGCTGCACTACCTTTTATAATAGATACTAAAAGAGATGCTTTGTTGCTACTCATAAACAAAATAGGTATAGTAAAACAATTTATGGATAAAATATAAGCCAACATGTGTTCTTATGTATTAAAGTTACACAAGCTTCATTATGCACGTCATTTTACAGTGGGAACTTATTATGCCATCAAGATACAAATATATATATATATATATATATTGCAAAGTATTTTATCTCGAAAACATTTCTTAAGCTTAATTCATTATTCTAGACAAGTTTGGTCATCCTGTTTTCCATTTGCAATGATTATGCTGAGATATATCTTGAAACACAAGAACTAAAAATGTGAAAAACTTTGTGTTACACACTAACACGCAACACTGTCATCACTATTGCCAAAACTAGGAATAAAGTAATTCACAATTGAAGCTTTTTCTGGTTGCGTAATGTTGTAAAATTCACCCGGTAAGAAAAACATTTTTCTATACTACAGTGTTTAAAATACGTGCATTGAAATTGTTTAAAAGCCTTGTTGGAAGGTAGAAGGAGAGGTCGTGTATATTTGGAAGTAAAAAGAAATGCCTTGAGGCACCAGAAGACACCTCTGGTCACAGTGACGTGTGCTATAAAGCTGGAGGACCTACTGACTGTAGCTGGTGGTGAACTCACTGAAATACTTGACTTGTAACTGTGGTGTTGTTAACGTAGTTGTAGTATTCGTGATAGTAGTAGTTGTAGTGCTGTTGTTTGTGATTATCAAAGCTGTTCTTGTTAAAACTTTTGAGTATTATATTGCTGGTGGAATGGTGTGGTCCTTAACCTTCTCACTTTGACTTAACCTTTTTGTTTTCATAACCTCTCAACTGTTTTCCTTCCTGTTACCTGCAAGTCTCTCTTTTCCCCAGTTCGCCTATTGTGTTTGTCTCTCCCCTGTTGCCCTGAAAAGTCTGTGTCTGTTGGATCTCCTATTCCAGTTCATTACTCAACCTCCCTTCACAATGACCCACGCATCCTGCCAGAGCCTGTGGCCAGTCTGAGAGCCAGCCACTGCAGTCCAGTCTTTTACTTGCTGGACAATGGTAAGAGGAGGGATGTCTCACAGATCTCAGCCTCTTCATGGACATCTGCTTGTGTTTTTTATTGTATGGCAATAATGCAAAAAGGGAGGAGGGTGGGGTTATTGGGTTGTTTTTGGACGGGTGGGTTGTTTGATGTTGCACCTTGCATGCTAACTCTGCTTTCCACACTGTGAGCAACACTATTAGAGGCACATTTAAACCTTACAGAGCTACAATAAAGTATTGTAGTCAGTGAATGTCAAGAATAAAGCAGATTTCTTTTAGCGCTCTTTTTTTGTGTGTGTCATTAAGAAAGGATCTCCATAGCAGGTGTAAAATGGCAGAGAAGTTTACAACCATTCAAAGCTTCTTAGTTTCAACACAACTTTAATTTGAAATTTTATTTGACTTAATGTCTAAAGAAAATAGGTAGGATACATATGTCATTAGAAAATATAATAAAGAAAGAAAAAAATACAGTGGGAAGAGGGCTCTTGTCCTTGTTGGCGACTCCTACTGGTTAGTTAAAAGTGAAAATGAACTTGGGCAATCCAAATAAAATAAAAAAGCAAGGAATATATGTATCACGCACTAACTGCGAATATTTCAACATACAATGAAACATATCTAATTTTCCACTATCCACATGTTGTAGTTGCAGTTCACTACACAAATGCATTCAAACCGTCTCGCGCAACGATCGGTCACAGCAGAATGACCCATCAACCAAGTTGCTTACAGTGTAAACAAGCTGACAGGGACTGTGTTTCTTGGAGTAGACTGTCGCTGCCTGTTCAATGTGTTCCGTGCCTTTTCGTGCGACTGCTGGTGTTGCATTCGCTCTCTGCCCCAGCTTCTGGGACATCGTGTTGTTTGTTTTATGTGCCGGATCTGGGATTTTGAACTTGGATCGTCATTCGGCAATACTGCGAGGCAGGTGGGCTTGGGAAGAGGAAGGGGTTCTAATCCAGCCGGTTGCTTCTCTTCACTCGTCATTGCCTCTGGTGTTTCATTCACTGTGACGTCAGCCATTGTGCCTCCACTTGAATCGCACATCTTTGTCACTAATAGGTTAAAACGCTGCTTTACCGGTCTGTAACGCTCTGAATCTCTCTCATTGTGTCTTTCTGACTTTGTCAACAAACCCTTCTCATGTCATCTCGGCTAACATTCATGGCTGTCTCCTCTCTAACTAACTGCATGGTGCCCACTGTGAGGCCAGCTGCTGTGCTGATAAATATGACCTCCGCTTGCTTTGTACGTTTTATTAGTGGTGTGGACTGATGAAGTTCAAAAGTAGCCCCATTTGTGACCTCAGCATTCTGTACATTATTATTCGATCACATGAAGTTCCCTACACACACCTCAGGGGGAAAATCTAAATGTTAACTTTAGCATTGCTAGCTGTGTGTCTGTCAGTTGGCCCGGCGGGTTAACCATTCTTTGTCCAGACAGAAATATTTCAATAGTTATTGGATGGATTGCACAGACATTCATGATATCTGGAGGATTGAGCTCCTGACTTTGGTTGATCCCCTGACTTTTCATCTAGCGCCACCATGAGGTTGACATTTGTTTTTTCAGTGAAATATCTTGAAATTCTAATAACCTAAACTAAGTTAATAAAACATTATACCTGCTAGTCCTGCATGGCCTGACCTATCTCTGCAGCGCTGTGTCAGCACAAAAGATAGGTCTGGTTTCACACGTTGTCATTCTGTAATATATATTGGGTGGTGCTAAGCACAGGATGCAGCGACTGTGCCTTGCAAAATGAGTAGCTGAAGGGGAGCAGAATGCCATGTGCAATACACGGCCAAATGGCTGACTTATACTCACAGTCTACATCCGCTGAGTCAGACCATATAGCTGCTAAACAGCAGATTGTTAGTATTGGCATTATGATGAGCATCTTAGCATGCTAAAGTTGACATTTAGCTCAAAGCGGCTCCTCACAGAGCTGCTAGCATGGATGTAGATTCTCAGTGTTGTTTAACTCTTAATCTAACAGTGGGTTTAATCTTCAAAGGAAGTGATCACTGGCATCTGGCGTCTTCCAGGAATAGTACAATTGTTGCCCGTGGGGAAAACCGACATTCAAATCCAATATATCTCAGGCTTGTGCAGCGGAGAAGACGAGCAGAGCAAAGTAGCGCGGTCTGTGGATCTATTGGATTTAAACTTTTCACCTCGAGCAAACATTTGATCATTTCAGACACACCGTAGACCTCTGTGGGATCATAAACACACTTTTCAAGGTGCAACACACTGCTGAATTAATGTTTTTTAAAAAAGCCCCGAGGTTTGCATAAAGAATTCTATGTGACCAAACAGACTGCTGAGGTCACAAATGGGGCTGATCGCACATAAAGTGCTGTCATATAAGTGTCGCATGTTGTCACATAAAGATAACAACAACTAGGAACCAACTTGGAGTTGTAGAACATAATAATATTATTAATAAACATAAGACTTAATGAAGATTGTCATCATTAGGCAACAAATTGTGGCATTGCTCAACATTAGCAGGTGGGTTCAGTGAGCATGTAGCAAAAAGCGGCACCGTCGCTGCAAAAAACAACGGTAATTAATGTTTGGTTGGTTATTGTTCATATTCACAATAAACAAACCCTCGGCTCCTCAGATAAATTCCACACATTTATTTTGGTTGAATTACATTTCATGAAGCGTTAATGCAGCCACTGGGCTATTAAACAGAGGAACATCTGTGTGTAACAGGTTTATTGTGACATAATTTTCTCTGTCATTTTCTCCCCAACACTGCACATTTTATATGATTGCAGCAGCATCTGGTCACTGTAGTTTATTGTGAAAACACACACACACACACACACACACACACACACACACACACACACACAGAGCTTATCTATCATCTCATTTGCAATACTAATCAGAAAGGCTCTACTTGTTCCAGGAAAAATGGAAACAGAAATGTATTGATTGAAAAATTAAATTAGCGCACCATAAACCACAATTTCCCCTGCAACAAAGGACATATATTGTTCCTCAAAATGGCCTTTGATACTGTATAAATGGAATAAATTGCATTACATTACTTTAGATCTACTATTAGTCTACCATTTCCTCCAGTGCTGTACTTATTGTCTTCAATGGTGCTCTACGGCTGAAGGATTGAAACCTTTAGTCAACATTTTTTCTAAAGGAATACTCTTTGATTTTCCAATTCCAAAGTCAGCGGTCAGAATTATAAATGAAGTAAATTCATGATCATGCTGTTTTCCTCGTGGTTGTGAAATGTGTAAATTTTCATGTAGTCACCATCCTGTGTCTTCCACATTGTATACAAAGAAACAATGAATTATTGCCTTCTTTTTGATCGGAAAACGGACTCATAACATCTCAAGTTTGACCTTTGCAGTTCTCTGCAAAATGCTTGCAAAATGTTATTTAAAAAAAGTTATTTTACTGCCCTCAGTGTCTGACTGTGATTTTTGTATTGACACCCTGTGGTGTCACCCTGTTTGTTTGCGCTTCCATGTCAGACATCCCAGGCCTTAGACAATCAAATTTTACAGGGACATTTAAGCACAAAGAATGGGCAAAACTGACATATTTCATTAAAGAACTTTGGCAGGGTCATCAGATTTTAGATATGTGCAGAGAATGGGACTCAAGTTTGACATCCAGACTAAATCAAATAAATTCTCGTTGCCTTTTTGCAACCCAAAAAGACAATAGCTATTAGTAATAAAAAATACCATGCTCAGAATGTGAATAACTTGGATTGTTAAGTTGGCCCAGTATAGGTGTAATTGATCTTGCAGAGATAGCTGGGAACACTGGCCTGGGACAACAACGGAGCATGCATTTTGAAATATGCCTGCCGTGTGCAACTGCACCAATTTGCATGTTCTGGTTCTTTGTTCATTTGAGTGATTTCCATTTGTTTGGTTGAGTATTTTTTCTTTCTTTTTTTTTGCACTTTTGTTTGTCATTGTTTAACTTAGATTACTCCTACCATATCTTTTTATTATTTATTTAATATTTTTATTTGAAGGGATTAACTGGTGCTTTGTTTCCTATTCTTTTGTTTCAGTAAAGGGACCCGGCAGAAAGTTAAGTCTGCCAACAGATCTTAAGACTGATCTTGGTACGGTAGGCGAAAGCCAGCAGTTTCACTTGATTTCCTTTAAGCCATTTAGTTTTTGCTTTTGTCATGTTTTCTAGGCTTTTATGTTGCTTAAGTAGTTTTTATTCTCACTCAAACGTTGTTCTTTCAGTTTCCTTGTCACTCTCTCCTCCTGTTCAACCAGCCCATGAGGCTGTCGGACTTAAGTGTTTGTCCATTTTTCCCCTCAATGTATTTTGATTTGATTTAAATCTTCTGTATATTTTCCTTCTACATTTTGCAAGTGTTTATAAAGGTGATTTATAACTCATGCCCATATTTAAATTTGAGGTTTTCTATCGCTTTATCATGATTGGTCCATCTTCTGATTTTACACAACCTTTCCTCCATTGACAGCCTTGCTCTACAGTGATTGGATCACTCGCTACCTCTCTCATTGTAATCTTTTCTCCATTTTGACTGGATCATCTGCATTATAGATACTGCCCCCACCCCCTCCCCATATATCTCTAATACTGTACACATCTCAATCACAAGGTTTCCCTTTCTCTGCTTCAGCAGACTGCTGCTTCACACATGCTGTCCCCTTCAAAAACTGCTGCTTCTTTAACACAACATGTGCCACTGCCTACTTATTCCTGTGACTTGCCTCATTTAATGACCTTTCTTTATCCGACAGGTGTAAAAAAAAAAAAAGGTTTATTTTGTCAACCTTGTATTATATTTTGGTGACAGTGAGAACATTACCAAAAAATGTAAATCCAACTTTAAAAAAGATCAACCTTAAATTCGGTTGCCTCGTCACACATTGAGTGTGATTAATAAGAGAGCATTTTAAGCTCATTATATTTTCTGGGAGGTTCAAACATGCTCCTGAAGTGTCAATGTGATGCATGTTGTCAGTAAACGTGGGGGGGAATACATAATTAATCTTTTACCCTTTCAAAAGCAATATGATAAGCTGTGGGATATGACAACAAAATATTTTGTCAAAACTCTTTTTGCGTGTTTGGGAGGATATGTGTGCAAATGTGTTTGTGGTCGTGTGGACAAGTGCAGTAATCCGTGCTTTGGGCGAGTGCGTGTGTGTGTGTGTGTACTGTGCCATTCTTTCTGATATGTACCACTTTCCTGCAGAACATTTCGGGGCAAGTGACTGATTTGCTGCTTCTCTGTTTGATATTCACAGTTACAAAACATTTAGACATATACACAGCGGTGTCGTCATATGGCTTGGGTATTGGTTGGTCCAATATAACCTGCAGTTGTCTCAGTCCGTCCTGCTGTGAAACTAGACGAGTGTTGCACATGGACTGGGCTAGAGAACACTGTCTATTGTTTTTACTAATTAGTACAATACTAATTATCCTCATTCTTCATGAGTCGAGAAGAGAATTTTCAGAGCGGAAAGGTTTGATCACACCCTCAAGACAAGTGAGAAGGAGAGTACACGGGTAAAGGTATCATGAAGCTGTTAATTACGGCTGTCTTGGCAGCATTTTTGTCTTGCCGACTAAACTTGGGGCAACAAAGAAGTGCACCCAATCCACACAATTCTGCTTTTCTTTGTCTCATTAATACGTTTAGGCTCTAAACTAATTATTTTGCCCACACATACACACACACACACAAACACTGTACATTGAGTAAGGACGAAGCTTCCAAATAGCTCAGTCGCTGAGGGGAGGCGGCCATGTAAGGCAACAATTACAGAACGGAACAGAACGTGTTTCCTGTCACCACCATCTGTAGCCAACTGCGTGGCCAAACCGAAATGAGTTTGCGTTAGAATTTAAAAAGCAGATATACGATTTTTTCAGATTCTTTTCCCGCTCCTTTGATCTTCACTTGTAGCTTTTTGCCAGTAATGTCACAAAACTTCCGGTCTTAAAAAATAAATTTTCTGCTGAAAACTAAGATCAATTCAAAAAGGAAAAAAAGAAACAAAGTGGAGATGAAATAAGCCTGTTTTTCTTTTGACTTTCATATCTCTTTCTTGGCACAGATGAAACTGCACTCACAATTTGCCTCTGCATTTTGCTCTTCTTTCTATTGCGCCAGCCTCTCTTTCTCCTCCCTCCTCACTTCAAACCACTCTCCAGCCTTTTGTCACTCACTCTCGCTTTCCCTTTCTGCCTCACCACCACTAATTCTTGTTGACAATCTGATTTTCAACATTGGCTTGCTCCTCTTACACTGCAAAAATAGCCATCTTCATAGGTCATGTCGTCATGACTGAGTTAAATGTACTGAGTCAGTTGTTGTTTTTGTGTACAAAATATCCATATAGGGTGAGAAAGCAGAAGCTATATCCTTAAAAACTGCATTATGAATGAATAGAATTCTCTCCCCTTATTTGAAGATTTCTAAATGACATGAAGATGGATATTGCGGTAGTGGATTAGAATATGAAAGTTTTATTTCCCTCCTTGTGTTGTTTGCTAATGCTTTGCCGTTGTTACAGATCATGTCAATGGACATTGCACTAGCCCCACCTCCCAGCCCAAGCCTCGCGTCCCGATGGGTCCCGAGGGGCCACGGCTTACCCGCAGAGGCGCTGGCCGACCGCCCTTCCGCAAGGCCCAGTCCGCTGCTTGCATGGAGATCTCTTTGCCTGTGTCCCACACTGAAGGTGTGTGCTTGTCTTCCCAACTCCCCATCCCTAAGCTTCTATAACATTCCCTCCCTCCCAACAAGTGCATGCCATCCTCCTGCCCCGGGGTAAGTGGATTAAGTCCTGATGCATAGTTAACACAAGACAAGCGTATGCTAATGCAAGTTAGCAGCATAAAAACGTACTGACAGTGAACGGTTTGCAGATACGTTCAATATAAACATATCATAATTGACTGTTCGCTAAAGTCCTTCAACAAACAGTGGTTGCACAATCATACCCTAGCAACTGTAATCAAGCCCTGCAGGTCTGTGAAGCTTTGGATTTCACTGTAGTAAGAATAACTGGAGTTTCAATAGTAAACAATGCAGATTTACTGTAACATCCCCTTTACAAGATTCCTGTTTTAAAACGATTCAGTTTAAAGCATGCAAAAGTCAAGGAACTAATGTTAGCTGTCACTAGCTAGCTAGATAGCTAGCTAGTGACAGCTGATAAAATCTGCCAGTGACTGTCTTCATTGTCAGAAGTCACTCAGAGATTTGAATTTTGGCCAGTGGGCCACCACAATAATTGTAAACTGCATCTATGCCATGCAAGAACAGAAAGCTTGACCGGCTAGTGGGTGCGGGGTGTAGTGAATGGCCAAATTTGTTATATCTTTCAAAACGTATTCACTGCAAGTTGGCTGTATATGAACTTGAAAATACGATTGCACATGAAGGTAACTGGTGTTCAGCCAGCAGGTGTTGACAGCTAGTTACCAGATGAACATGACTATTACTGCTGTAAGAGTGTTTGTAATTATGTTACATTAAACACATAACTCTGCATCTTGCATTAGCATCACCTTACAACATTTGGACTAAAGGTTCTGCTTCTCTTGAATGCAAGAAATGGCCCTTGCATTGTGTCCCTTAACATTGTTGCTTGAGTCGACTGTGTCCTAAGCCTGAAGGTTGGTGCAATGTGACGTATTTCAACCAAATTAATTTTATACTTCTCCAGTGTTAATTTCAAAAGCAGCACTGATGATTTTGCAATGGATCTCACAATGAACCTTCCTCAACCAAGTGAAGTTGTCTTCAGCCATGTTTTTATACCTTCTCATGAATAGATTCTGGTTGTTTTTATTGATTTTTTTTAAATTTTGATGAAGAAACAAAGCACACAATATTTATGTAGTGTGGCCACACCTCCTGTCTTTCTCATTATCCACAAACTTTGAGCCGAGGGAAGCATGTCACACAGGTAAAAGAGGCGATTAAGTAGTACAAGACAACCGCTCCAGCATGATTTGCACTCTGGCATTTTGAAATGCTGAATGACAAATCTGACGTTTATTTTCTTTCATTTAAACTCCGTTAATTCACACTCTGGCATTGATCTGTACCATCTAAAAATGATTCACCGAGCAGTCTATGGGGGGGTGTGTGTGTGTACACATGTCTTTGTGTGTGATAGAAAGGGAATGTGTGCATTTGTGGGTGTGTAAATATGTGTCTGTCTCTATGTGTGTGCGGTGCTAACAGGTGTTTCAATGTTTTTATAGCTACTGTATGCCTATAGCATCACCTGTTAATTTTAATTAAGTCAAACACACTCTGAAGGCCTTGATACAACATCTTCCTCATTTTAAACATTTAATGTATTGGCCCATCCTTGAAGATTTGATTACTATTTTAAAAGAAATGTGGATCATATTTTAAGCTTGTTGGTGGGTATATTCTGCCAATCTACCCTCACACAACAAGTGGCAGCCAAAGCAAAAAATAAAAAAAAGAATATGTCAAGTGGGGACTTAAAAAGACATTACCACCAGCGTAATTTTGAGATATTGACCTCGAAACTGACACATAAAATGGTCTCCGTCAGGATTGTACATCAACTTAATTACACAATATGAAATCTTGCACTTATTCTGTCACTACCAGGAAACAGACATCAATTAACCAATGCAGGGCATTCATTGACATCCCCAGACAAAGATGATACCACTCTTTCATCTTAACAGGACTTCTCTGTTCTAGTTAGGCATTTTATTTCTCTCTCTTAAAAATTAAACATTTTCTTTAAATGGAATAAGTCTCAGCAAAACATCACTTGGCATTTTTAGTGAGCTGAACTTTAAGTCTTAACAATTTTTCACATTGCTGGGTGATTTTCTGAGGGTGGCGGAAATAACACTGCCCAAAGAGACGGTTTAGGGTATGGATAATCCATAAAGAAGTGGCAAACATGATGATTGGCCCTGGAGGCAGAGAAGCTGTTAAGCACTGCAGGGCTCTAATTTAAAGTATGGATGGTTAAAATTTACATTGCCACTTTAAAACAGCAGATTGTCACACAGAGAGAAAATGTCCATGTACTTCAGTCAAAGTCTAGACACACCGCTATCCACAACGTTATGTTGCTGAATTAGAAACCTGGTGCACCACCTGCACTGCACTGCCTATAGTGCTGAGGCATCATACACATACTCTGAGGAGACAACACTTCTGGAAAGCTGTGGCTGTGCAGGTCATTGTATTTACTTTTAGTCGGGGCTCTGGCAGACTAACAAAAAAGTCAGGTCACGCCAGGCTCATCTCACCATAGAAAAGTCAATACTGACAGTTCCCAAAATGCCACAGTGTCAACTGTCAACACCCTGCACACACATCAGACAAAAAAGTAACACACAAGGGTTACAAAACTTTGCAGTTGGAAGTAAGCGCACGTTCCCTCATGTCTGTGATGTGCTATATAAAGATTTGCTGTGCAGACTTTAAAGGGTTTTAATAAACATGCTGATGCACAGTATTTATTCCAAATAATAAACAGGATTGGTGCAGTGCTGTTTTCACAGTTAACCCTTTAACACTAATTCTGCAATTAGATTCACACCATCTTCATCGACCTCATTATACAATGGTGAACTGGAGCTGAGAGGGAAGCCGTTCTTCATTAGCATAAGCTGAATGTTTTATTAAAGCCACTGCCGGGGGCTACAGCTGCATTATCAATGCAGACGATGGTCGCTCTTTTTCACTGTTGATTTAATGCATCTATAACCTCTGAAAACATCCATATGAAACTGATTTCTTGAGTGATTTAACAGGAAACTTTGAATTAGGATTTAGCGATATTTACGCTAACCAACAGAGAGAATCTCTCATACAGGTAGACAGAGATGGATGTACCTGTTATAGGCCACCAGTCTTACTTACTGATTGAGTGACGGTAATCCTAATCATAGGCTGTATTATGGCCATGCTTCTTAGATACACCAGGCTCATGACAACCTAGAGTTTTATTTTTTCAAAAACTCTATGGAGGAGAGAGCCCCACGGCTCCTGTCTGACACTAAAGAAGCATAAAATCGTCTGTCTGAGGGATGACCACCTTGCCTTTGTGTGTTTTAGTGTCCTCCTGCTTGTGTAGTGCTGAAATACCTTGGAGAATGTGGCTCTGGCTGAAATCAATTGACAACGGTCATCACAGTGTCCAGAATGTGACATGACATGACTACTGGGTCCCTTGTCTTTTGTGGCAAGTGCATTTCTGGACACATGAAAAAAAACGTGTTAGACAGGCACTCTGGGGTAGTGTAAAGAATGAATGCATGCAATGCAGCTAGCCAATAATTTTTCTTTTTACCCTTTAAAATCCTCCTATGTTCCAAAGACAACTTTGGCTGTTCACATTTTTGATCAGTTCTGATTAATTTGTCTAATCACTCATTTGGATGTCATTGGATGAATCTTTTCGCAATCTGGACACGCTACCACTCAAAGGGCCAACATGTCAATTTGGCACACATGATATCACATAACTTAGTATGCAAATTGCTGTGAAGTTCTCTGAGCACGCTCATGCTTCCAACGCTACCATACTGTGGGGTGTGATGAATATTGAACCTGCCAGGTAAAACTCGCAGGGCTTTAGAACAATATTGAAGATATCGTGCCGTTGGATTTGGCAGGATGTACGGATCGGGTAGAGAGTGACACTTGTTGTTGTTGTTGTTCCCTTGTAGCATGAATGAGCTGATAGATGATATGATAACGCAATATCGCCGATACCCAATCCAGCATTTTAGGCTGTATTGGAGGCATACAGGTATCGGTATTGGAACAACTCTATTGACGGGACTATGGGACTGTTTGTAGAAACATCTGTTGAAACTGTAGCAGGGCATTCTGATACGGTAGAATACATTCTGTTTTCTGAATTCACTCGACAGCTTTTTAATCTGGGTTAGATGTTTTCTATAGTTCAACATCTTTGCATTGCATCTCCCCTTTCTCTTGTGGGATCCATCGAATCCATCACTTTAGAAGGTCTGCTGTGGTCGAATGACATGCTATGATTTTTTTTAAATCATGAATCAGATGCCATAAAAGATGCATGTGAAACCAAATTTAAAAACGGAGAACATCCCTGGTCTGCAGCGACTTAAATGTGCGTTTATTATGCGTGAACAGTCACTTTTCTCAGCAGACCGTTGCATTTTCTCTACCGGCTGCCTACCCTTAGCACTGTTGTTTACCAGTTGTACTGGGCTACCACAGTGAAGAGCCAGCAGGTTCACTGGAATAATTAAAGGTCAGCGAGCGGTGCGAGAGATGAGGCCAATGTTAATGAGGCCTGCATGCCAGGCGAGGAGACAGAGGAGGGAAATGGCATGGGAAGTCACACTCGATGTACAGTCAACATGTCCATGCCTCCCATCTCGGTTAGGCAACACAGCTATTAAATATTGAAGACCGAATTGTGTGATACTGTTAGCTTTGCCTGCAGATGTGGTCATAAAATTGGTAGTGGTTGTTTAAGAATAGGAAAATCGATGGAGAGCAGGTGTTGTGATCAGTTGATTTGTTTGTTTGCATAGAGAGAGGAGTTATTGTTTCCCTACAGTGTTACCTTTAGATTAAATATAACTTGCACGTTACAGAATCGCATAAAATCACAAATTTCACAAGTAAAAGCAACAGTGATATTTTACTGCACCTTCGCACAGAGCTGAGGTGACTCAGTCTCAGTGACTACCTGGCCAGATGCTGAAAAAGCTGCACACCCACATACACCTACAACAATAAAACCACAAGATAAAAACCAAGTGCTGAAGCAGTGGACCTGCTGTTTCATAGCTGTGTGATAAAAGATGTCCCTGTTGGATCTCTGCAATAATTAACTAACTAATCGTAATTGTTAAAATGTTACATTTTGAGGTCAAAGATTTCTTAATTCCCAATTAAGCTCACAATTAAACCCTGGAAAATGTATCTGATACAATACATCATCTTTATATGTGTTAATTGGCATTAAAGCACAGCTTGACACAAAGCTTTATACATTCATTGGTGGTAGATATAAATGAAAAAAAAGGGGTTTGCGTAATCTCCAAGTGTCTGTCCTTGTCTCTCTACACTGCGTGGGTGTATGTGCATGTACCACTGTATAAATCTAGCACTTTGTGCGTCTCTCCGCTTCAGATTGTCTGCCTTCCCTTATCACCTCACTGATACCACCTCTAGTTCCCTGTCAGGGCCCCCAGGGGTCCCTGTGTCCTGTCAGAGCACCACTGTGCCTGACTTTCATTAGCCAGCCCCCCACAGGCTCTGTCACACAGCGTAAACACACCCCAGCGTCACACGGCAAAAACCGAGCTGCTGCTGCCCAGACTCACAGCAAAAGGCTATTTTGTCTTTGTGACTGCCAGCAGCATCGTACAGCAGTGTTGTCACGATACCTAAATATATTGATACTGCTCCGATACTGTTGTAAACAAGAGAAAAAGACATCATCCAGAATTCCCATTCTTGACGTCCACGGCTTTGTCGTACCTTTAGTGCAGGAGTTTTCATTTCTGTTTTGTGTTGAATTGGTCCTATATTTGACTCCTTGCACCAGTTTTGGGGATCCACCCCAAACGTCTTTGTACTTACAGCAGTATCAAAGAAAGCAGTACAACAATGTAGTTGTCGTGCAACAGTGCTGCACAGGAGCTCTTCACTAACCACACTGGATCACTGCATAGGGATACTGTGTCAGAGTTTTCGTACCACTCTTGCCAACAGTGTTAAGTTGAGCAGATGGTGCGGAAAAGGGGTTTAAAGAGAAGATGGATACGCGAGTAAAGGTTGTGTGGCCACCAGAAACATAAACAAGTGGCCTCTTTTTCAGGCGCCCTCTCTTTCTCTGTCTGTATATATTTGAAGCAATCGCTCCACACTCAGTTGGATCTTTCTCTCTTTTTCTTTCTTTCATTTTCCGGTACTGCTGTTCATCTGTCCGTCTTGTCTGGTCTTTGGCTGGGCGGCTGTGCTTGTGTGTGTGTGTGTGTGTGTGTGTGTGTGTGTGCGTTTCTTTGGGGCATGTCGGGTTGTGGTTTGTTAAATGGGGTTCATGTTGTGGGGGACGAGTAGGTTATGCATCCAGGAGGGCAATGCTTCAGCAGTTACATGGAGTCAGTATGTACTCCCACGACGAGCACCACACCACCGCCCCCTACTGCTGGAGTGAGAGAGGTAAGGGGGCTTCGGCCACAAACCCATCAACTGCTGTCCTGCTGATTATTACACATCCGTCCGTCAAGTCAGTATGTCAGTCCGTCCTGTGGCCCTGTTTCGTCTAAAACATGCCTAGAAGTGCTTGCTCTTGTCCCAAAGTGTCGGGTGATGTCATCTATAATGCAGTGCATAGTGTATGCTTTGCACAGTTACACTGTTTATCCCCCAAGTCCCCCCCATAAATAGTGGATGACTATTCAAACCTGTACGGATTGTGGTTGTCATAATGCCTCGAAATTGCACACATTGAACACCTGTCGAAATTGTTTTTATTTTAGCCCGATGTGTACGCCGGGCTTTGCACCCATCTGTACTTGTTGTTACGTAAAGTCTGCACTCTGTGTAACATTAGGCTGGGCATGCAGTACTGCACATTGCCTGGCTCTGAATTATTCAGAATGAAATGCAGCAATACAGAAATACTTTTATGATGGAGGCTTTAAGTACACAATGGAGGACGCGAATGGGTAGCACTCTAACAGAGTTAAAGGAATTTTTGAATCTGGTGCAACAGCCAGTGTGTGTGTTTGCATTCTGGTGTGTGTCTGTCTGTAAATGTGTGCGTGTGTGTGTTACCAGGCCGCTGAATAGAAGCTCCTCAGTACCTAATAATCTGTACATTTTCAATGAGAAGTGTGTGTGTGTGTGTGTGTGTGTGTGTGTGTGTGTGTGTGTGTGTTTGTTTGTAACAAATTGTGTTTGTCAAGTCGTCTCTTTATAATGAAAATATCACTTTGCTTCTCAATGTATCACATCTTTTCCCGTGTTCAAGTGTTTTATGTTGTATAAAATCTGTGGACGAACACATGTGACCTTTAGAATATTTGTCTTCCGTGCTCCCTATCGCTCTTTTTCTCCTTCCTACGTTTTTCTTTGTTCCCTTCCACAACTCCTGCAATTCGTCCTTTCTGTTTCCTGTTTTCTCTCTCGCTCCCTCTCTCTTGTCATCACTCGATCCCTCCTCTTGCATCGTGTCCACCTGTGCTGTGCTTCTGTGTTCACCGGCTGCCGCTACAGAGAGCCGTGAAAACTCCTTCAGCCGCTCACGCAGTTCCAGTGTTTCCAGCATCGACCGGGACACCAAAGAGGCTATCACCACACTGCAGTTTGGAGAGTCCTTCGGGCGCAAGAGTGACGCCCTGCCCACCCCATGTCTATGGGTGGGCACCAGCTTAGGGGTGGTCCTTCTCATTCCAATGTCCATTCCCACCGACAACGAGGAGAGGATGGAGGAACCTGTGACAATTGGCCCCAGCGGTAAGTCCCAGTGAGACAGGGTTTCATCACAAAAGTGTTATGAACCTTACAGAGGTTGTTAGTCACCTTAACCAATAATGTGTGTGACATTTTCTGGCTTGTTACTCAGTTTACTTAGTTCCCACATATCAGCAATACTTTGGTGAGTACAATATTATCATAACAGATATAAATAATGGCCAACTTGGGAAATTAAAAAGACAGGTTGTAATAGATCAGAAAATCCAACATACACCCCAAAATCCCATTCATTAATCCATTGGAGGACCTAAAACTGCTTTCAGCCTTGTCAGCAGCAAAATCAAGACAAAGACAGAATGAATCAAAAGATGAAAAGAAAAACCACAAAATAAAATCGAAATATGTCAATTGAAACTATTCCCTCACCACTACAATGAAGCCATATTCAATGGTATTGTTTTTGTCAATTCGGAGTCCAGCCTGTTTATTGAAATGTAACGTCTCATCTGTGGGTTTGAGGCTGTGATGATAGGTTTTATGCTCCACATGACAGCCAGACAATGTGGATTTGCAATGTTTGACTCTGCCTGATGAAAATAGTTAAACGTTGTTTAACCATCTGTCATGAAGCTTGCACAGTGGAACACAGTGGGATTTGGATAATAATGGAGATTCTCTAAACTGCTGGCCCAACTCAAAATGATGGTCAATTCAGCACAAAATGTCCAGACTAAATTTGTGAGACTCACATTGAAATAGTTTACATAAAACAAAGGTTCAATCAGCTTTTGGCTGGATTCGTTAAAACGGTTCAACCAAAAACAAGAAGCTAGAAGTTGTCTAAAAAGGACCAGATCAATGTGTCTGATGTCGTGGACCTTAAACGTGCATTCGGTGATTTCTTTAAGCTGATATGGTCTGTTAGCAAACAGTTGTTCATTTGGATTTATGTTTCTGACTACCCAACAAACACAGACAAGACAATATTCAGTCTTAAGTCTTCTATATTTCCGATTTAGGTCTCATCCAACTCCTGAAGGAAATAGCTGGATCTTCAGCTGCTTAATGCTTCACTGTGTTCACCAGCTAGTGTGCTAACTGTGTCTGTCTGCCTTTATGTGCTGATTATGCTATACATTTGTGAGCTCAACTCTCCCCTAGTCTTAGTCATACTTAAGGGCTTCTAAAACGATATTTATTTAAACTAGAGGGGATTTTGCTGTCACGGAGAACTCTGATGAGCTTTTGTAATGCTTGATTTTGCTTTGACTTCCCTCTGTTCTCGAGAACAAGGATATATTTTGCAGCCCCTTTGGGTTTGGACTCTGACTAAACACAACTGAGCCTTTCAAATATGTATTACCTGTCCAGAAACCTTAATGTGCAAGGACAAGGTCTCTTATTCACAGATAAAACATCAGTATACCCATAAATCCAGGCCCTTTGAAGTACTTGTTGTCCTCTTGAGACTAAGTTTATTACTGGAAAATCACAGATTCTGTTTCAAGGAAAAGATAATGAAGAGAAAGACAGGTTTTGTTGAATTCTCCTTGTGTGTTTTTAAAGTGCTCTTGTGGATTGTTTCTTTTGCAATGAATGTTATATTAGACCACCTTTCTAGGCTCATCTTGGAACATTGTAGTTTTAGACTTCATGCCTTTCCTCTTCCCTCTGTTGACTCAACCCAAACACTCCCAGGCATGGTCCTGATGCTGAAGGGCTCCGTGTTGCACTTTAGCTTCTTGGACTGTATGGGAGCGCTCATTCAGAGCCCCCACGAGGTTTGGCGGGACCTCAACGCCCCCGAAGACCCTGACCGACCGCGGAGGCGCAAGCTGGTCCACTTTTCACCATCGTCCTCCCAGGACAACTACGGAGAGGGGCATCTGGCTGTGGTGTGCTCCGAGAAGCAGGCCAAAGTAATCTTGATGCCCTCACAGTCTTGCCTCTTTGTCCACAACATCACCGAGTCGTCCTTTGTACTGCGAGCCGACGTGGTATCTGTGTGCAACAGTGTGTGCCTGGCCTGCTTCTGTGCTAACGGACATGTTATGACACTCAGGTATTACCTCAAGTACTCATCTACTTACCTACAACTTACATATTTACCTGAAATTGGTTGACTTTGCTAGTTCTTACGATACAGGTGTTCTGGTGTCTAACTCTGTCTTTTATTATTCTTTCTCTTCTCACAGCTTGCCCAGTCTAAGACCGCTGATGGATGTCAATTACCTGCCTATGACAGACATGCGTATCGCAAGAACCTTTTGCTTCACCAACGGGGGGCAGGCACTATATCTCAGCTCCCCGACAGAGATCCAGAGAATTACATACAGCCAGGAGATGTTTGACAACCTGCAGGTATCAATCTGTCTTCTATATTTACATTACGTTATATCTGAATTTAGATTACATTGTATCTATATTTACATTACATTATATCTGTGTTTACATTACATTATATATGTGTTTGCCTTACATTATATCTGTATTTACATTATATATATGTATATGTATCTGTATGTGTGTTCATCCTGCTCTCTCTGTGACATGCAACATCTCAGAATTTTGCTTTTTGTTTCAATGAAAAGTATTCATACATCTATGATGTGCGCATTACTGTGAGACCATTCTAATTTGCTTGACTTTTAATTTGCATGATCTCACATTTTGGGATCTGAGTTCAGAAAAGTATTGGTGCAGTTAAGAAACGCGTGCCATTATTCCCATCCTTGGTGAGGCCCAGAACTGACAGAGGCCATTAAAGTAAAATGGCACACCTGTCACGTGTGGTTTGAACTCAACTGGGTGGATCTAGTTTTACACTGTGTGTGTGTGTGTGTGTGTGTGTGTGTGTGTGTGTGTGTGTGTGTGCGTGCAAATGTGCATGTAGACTTTGGCATATATGTATTTATAGATGTGTTTATTCTTCAGAGCCGTCACTGCACATGCACAAATGATGTCGGTGGAGCTTGTAACATGATGCTGACATAGTGCCACCTACTGGACAGCAACAGCAGTTACTCAGATGATGGTCCACCTAGTAAAATTTGTCACAAAGTGGACAAAGGGAAGAGTGTAGAAAATTGTTACTCCATCCTTCTGAGAATGACCATGATATGATCAACAAATATCAGCAATACAGTGCTGGTTCAGAATCGGAAATAATTGTTTTGAAAATGTATGAATTGTTAAGAAGTTATTTTTCTCCATTTTCCTTCATTTCAGGAGATGCTGGGGGAGCTGTTTACACCAATAGAAACACCGGAAGCCCAGAACAGAGGCTTCCTAAAGGGCTTCTTTGGAGGAAATTCTCATAACTTCGACAGAGAGGAGCTCTGTGCGTTTTTCTATTTTTCTATCTTTATTTCTGTACGAAGGGTTTTATTTTAGGGTGTACTAATCCACCTGAAAATGTCACATGTAACTACAGTAATAAATCAATATCTAGAAGGAACTGAGTAGCAAAGGGCTAAAAATCCATCATAGCCATGTGACCAAGAATGGGTTTTTTTCTGTGCCTGCCTTCATATTCCTTTTTCACCTGATGTTGTTGACAGTTGGTGAGACATCAGCTGGGAAGGGTTCTCGTAGTCTGGCCCAGCACATCCCTGGGCAGGCGGGGATGGAGGGCATGAAGGTGGCAGCTAGCGGAGTCGTGGGTGACCTGGCACGGGCCCGCATTGCTCTGGATGAGAGAGGCCAAAGGCTTGGGGAGCTGGAGGATCGAACTGCACTAATGATGACCAGTGCAGAAACCTTCTCCAAACACGCTCACGGGGTAAAAGAAAGATTAATAAGAATCCATGAACATTATAAAAATGTTACACACAACCAAATTTATGACAAAACAATATAAAAAGTATTGTAAATAGGTTTCTTTACAAATACCGTTGGAAAGTGAAACCGAATTAAAGTCAAGATATGGTGAACTGAAACAGAAAAAGATAACCTCATGGTTGCACCAATTGACCCTTCACAAAGCCGCTGCTAACATCTGTCAGAGCTGGCTGATGCTACACCGTGATTGGCCAGTCTGCGTTTTGGGGCGGGACTTGGCAAAGGGCGATGTAATATATTTAGAATGCTAAATTGAAATACAAATGTTTAAAAATGATGCATACAACAGCTTCAATGCAAACCTTTAAAAAATGTGATGTTATTCTGAAAGAAAGGAAGCATTGACAACTTGTTATTCCTCACCATCGACTGTCTGTGACTTTTTCTTCTTACAGCTGATGCTAAAGTGCAAGGACAAGAAGTGGTACCAGTTCTAATAGCAAAGAGGGCTGAGGCAGCCCTTGGACTGCCAGGAGCTTTTTGCCGGAACAGGGACCTTCACTCTATAAATGAGAGCAATTAAAAGAGAGACTCAAGAGTGACTTTGTCTTTACGGCTTCTGGACAGGCTACGGCACTGGCACGTTGTTGAAGGAAGAGGACGTGCTAGTTCCTTGTCTAGACATGTATGGATGAGGACAGAAAGAGAAAGGCAAATGGCGGCATTAGAAGGACTGATGATGGAACTGGAAATATCCAACAAGTCTGTCTGTGTGTTTGTGTGTGTTTGTGTGTGTGTGTGTGTGTGTGTGTGGGTGGGTGGGGGGATGAAGGGCCTGGCCTGGGTTGGTGAGCGTGGTTGGGTTTTCTAGACCTCACTGTGTAGATACTCAAAAGTTAAGAAACCAACAAGAAATGCATGAAACAAAAATGGATGACTACTAAAAATATCCAGCTGCCATATTAAAAAGCAGCATGCTACTTTAACAGAAGATACACAAATAAAAAGTTTTATTTAATAATGTAAGCCAACAACAGAAACTATAAAAAACGTTATATTTTTTGAAATATTGACAAAAAAATATATATAAAAAGGGAACTGTATACCTGCATCGCTATTATGCCAAAACTAGTATTCCTTTCCCTTTTTTTAAATTTTTGTTTTTGGTTCATTTAAATTTTTTTCTTAGTTTCAGCAAATATGAAATGCCACAATATAGATGCACATAGTTAGCTTTCTCTTCACACACTTATAATAATGCTGAAACGTTGTTCTTTTACTCTGGGCTGCACAGTGCAAAACACAAATCAGTAGTATTTAAACTTACCTCTGCACAGTCTAATCACACTAATTTCACTTTTTCAGCTGCTGCTGCTTACAAAAGCATTAAATGATGAGGAATATCTCACTCCCCAACTACAGTTGTATGAAAACAGAGAACATATTGGTGTGAGACACAGTGTGTTTATAGCTATAGTATGACCCTATATACTATTCACGTGCCATAAAAACCAAGATGAGTGAATCCACTCACCGTAAACTAACTAACAAAGAGCTAATATGTGGTAGTCATTAAATGTTTGATCAAAACAGATGAGACACAGTACTTGGAGTTGGCTAGAGGGCATTCATCAAAAGTCAAATAAGTCAGATTTCTTTATGAAAAAAAGAAATATGGGGGTGTTTTTATTCATTTTACTTTTTTTTGGGTGTTGCTGGTTCATCATTTCAGTCATTAGCTGCCTTTGTTAGATGTATGAGTTTAGTGAGCCATAAAGTGTGTGTGTGTCAGAGAGAGAACGAGAGAGCGAGAGACAAAGAGGGCCACAGGTGTTAAGCAACTGACCTCTTTCTCTGCCAAAGCAATCAAAAATGAATGACACCCTCCCATTTCTCTCCGCCTCAGTCTTTTAGAAGTTGTGGTTTACGCGTTTTCAGGGTTAAACTTGAGCGGTCCTCTTTTCATGATCACAAACAACGATTTCAATGATTGTCAATGTCTTTGTGACGGATGTACGAAGAGGAAGTGGAGTCACAACGACTTGTGAATCGTTTATCAGTAAGCGTTTCAGGAGAAGTAACAGTATTTTTTTCAGTGATGTTCAGATGTAAGTCAGTAGAAGAAGCTATGTACATGTGTAAAACATTTGCAACAATTTCAACTGAAGGCAAATATGTTATTTTTTGTTCAATATTGTTCTTGATGACTATGCTATCTGCTTGTCGCAGTCCTATATTTGATGGTGACGGCCTCTCAACTGAAGGCTATTGTATGTTAAAAACAACAAATGTTTCATGATACATGGTTGTGTATCATATTGTGATTGTGTTGTACATGTCAATGGGTAGCCACATGACACAGGCAAACAGCATTAACTGAGGAGGATATTTCGTACTTGTGTATTTGTCTGTATTTTGAATCGATCTGAAAAACCAAACAGGATTATTGATATCCATTTCTGACACATCCGGCCTTTATGCACACAAGCATTAAGGTGTTGCGCCTTGATCACGTTGACATCACTCCCACATAAAATATGCACAGCCACACCTACGCTCAAAACCTAAAAAATAACACAAGTGAATCCATCTGCATTGCTAGTCATTTATGCCTGCTTCCTGTCAGGCTGCCAAAGTATTCATTAGGCTTGGCCTCCAAACACATTTGTTTTCACCGAACCCAAGTCACCTGAAATCCTAAATCAGTGCCACACAGATTTCATTATTACACATGATTTGATTCAATGAGGTGTCTTAAACATGTAAAGAAAAAAAAAAGAAGAAGAAATTCTCTACTATCTCTGTACCGTCAATGAGATTTGTGTTCAGTGCAGTTCTTTCAATGGCAGAGAAAACACATTAAAAAAAAATCTAAAAAGAAAATTTAAAAAATCTGACTTCTACTGACAGGATGTTTTGTTAGTATGTTTTTGGTTTTTATATTAACTGTACAGCTCAATCTTGGGAGAAAGGTGAAACTAAACAAACAAAAAAACTACAAAAGATAAAGACATTCTTGGGATATTTTTCTCTGTATATGTTGTACCTGTTACTGCTGGTACTGTATCTGGTATTCTGGCTCCGTCTAAATCACTGGAACTCTGTAGTTCTTCACACTGTAGTATCCTGAAAAGGCATTTCTCTGGTTTTCTCAATGATGGCAGCAAAGTTTGTCTTATTTAAATGGATTCTACCACTTTTTGTTCTTATTGATATTATACTAGTGTAATAGAAATTACCTGACAAAAAAGAACTGAAAATATGTTGATGCAAAAGCAAACTGAAATAAACATTGATTGATGTACACAGTTGAGAGCTCTGTTTCACTTGTCCCCCAATCAGTTGCTGTTGTCTTGCTTGTCTGAAGTGTAAGGTGGTGTTTCCTGGATCATATTGGCATCTCCACATCAGTGATTCTCAGCTAGATTGGGACTTCACTACATTTATTGTACAGCTAGCTAGTTTTATAAAAAGCATGTAAGCTAACAAATTGTTATTATTATCATTATATCTTGTCACTATAACAAAATGACACTATAATAACACTATAATAATTAAAATCAGCTCCACCTGGACCAACCACAATGGTAAATTATGCTATATTAATAATACTGCAACAGCAATAAAAAATATATATAAGATTTGATAATTGTAAAAGGGGCCATTTTTCTACATTGAGCGCTAGCTGACGTGACATAATATTTACTTGACATTTTTAATACATGACTTCTACCCATAATGTATACAGTATTTTTACAGTCCAACATTGCTAATAGGATATATGATTAAGAACACTGTGAGTGGGAAAGTTCTCATTCAGTGCAATCTTTTATAGCAAATCTCTCCAAACAATTCCATGCTTCCAACAATGTGTCACAATGAATTACCCACTGATTAAACCTTTAAAAAGTAAGCCATATTCACAATTCCATCCCTTTCACTCAGCATCATCACAGATGAGAACATCACACCCATGACCGGCCCATGCCCAGCATGTAGACACGGCTTACTTCCGGGTTTCTGTGCAATCAGATTCAGACCAGGAGTCAAATGCTCATTCGACCAATCAAAGCCAGAGTCAGCGTAGTGGCGACCAATCAAATGGCTGGAACGTGCGTGCTCGTCCCGCCCCGTGTTCATTCAGCAGATAGTTAACTTCACTGTACAAGGATTTGGGATCTAGCTAGTTAGCTAACGGTAATCTGTGTATCCAGAGAGCATATTAACGTAACACAATGCGCGTATGTTAGCAAGATATATGCTATTAGCAATGCCACTTCTGAGATGTGTTGTTCCAAATGGAAACGGAACGAGCTAACGTCAAAACGTAAACTAGCATCACAGGTTAATATTCAGTCTCTTGATGTATGGGTGTTTTTTTTTAAAACAACAATGGCAAGTTTGGGCAGTGAACCGCTGTGTGGGGAAAAGTAACGGCTAACAGTTAACAGGAACAGTGGACACTGGACAGGTATGTCTCTTCGGCTACTTTCGTGGCTGCTGCTGCTGCTCCTCTCTCTGGGTCTGTTCAGACACGAACTCCCGGGGGCTCGGGCAGATTCGGTAACGTCACCCAGTGCTGCAAAAACTTTAGTTTGGGGACCTGGACTCGAAGCAAACGTCGTACTTCCAGCGCGATTCTTCTACGTGCAGGCGGCAGACAGCTCGGGGAGAAAGTGAGTAACGCTCGGCCTGCTAATGGCAGAGAGTACGGTTATTTTTTTCCAGTCTCAGCAAACTGTCAAATGTTATTGGCAAGCAGTGCTGCTATAAAAATGCTCCACGTAGCATCCTTCTTTGGATTTTATAAGGTGGTGCCAGTCTGAGCAAATGTATGTATTTTAGTGGCAAGGAAAATAATGTGTAACTTGTTTTATATATGTAAATACGTGGTTGTGATGGAGCCAGAAGAGGTTTGTGTCTATTATGTCATTACAACAATATATGACAAAATTGTATGAGTTGTCTCATTGTTAAACAAGTCAAATCAGCCCCCAATAAGGTTTATTTTTGTTTACACTTTTCTTCATTGTTTGTTTTTAACAGTAAATACTTTATGGGGTAAGATTATGTTAAGCTTGAAAGCACCAGATGTTCATTGTTTCCATAGAGAAATGAATGTAGTCAAATGTTAAAAACCCTCACTATTGCATTATAATTTCTAGAAAAAACGTATATTGTCTCATATTTGAATTATAACCTCCCTCCAATTGTATTGACGCAGGACAATGTTACTGTATTTATTTATGTATCAGCACCTGAGGACTGCATGACTACAAAGAAAGGACAACGTAGTAAATCTTTTCAATCGTGTTGAACTTTTAGAGAGAGAGAGAGAGAGAGAGAGAGAGAGAGAGAGAGAGAGAGAGA